TGCAAGATCTTTATAATTTTATTACAATATATATACAATACTTACATTATACTTTACAAAGTCTATAATACATTATAAGTAATGTAGCTTTTTCCTAATGTGCTTGACTCATATTCCTCTCCCTTTCCTCTAATTCCTCCCTTTTTTTAGAGATTTAAACTTAGCATGCTTGACCATAGTGTACTAAGCAGAATAGAGAGTGAGCAAGCAGAAAAAAAGAGTAAAAAAAACACTAATTTATTAGCAAGGGTATAGCAAATGCTCTGACACAATTCTTACACAAAGGTTTGGCAAATTACATTATTGTGTTAATCATTTCTCTTTCTGTCATACTTTCTTGACTTTTCTTAATGTTTACTTTTAATAAATTGTACAACTCAGTGTATTAAAATAAAAACTGTAGAATTGTATATTTTGGATACTAATAATCATATATGCAAAGTTTCAACTTGATTGGATTAATAGAAATATCACCAGAAAATTTGCAAAGTTTGCTACAGGACAATTTTACTAAATTCTTTAACTGTCTGATTTTTCTTAATTTTATTTCTTGCTCAATTTCTCTCAAATCTTATATATACATTTGGGTCATATAGTAATACCTTGTATTAAATTTTCATAAAATAATATTAAGATTTGAGTAAGATATTACAGTCTGTTTAAAGGAACAGTTGTGTTTAAAGGAGCAGTTTTTGACTGTATATTAAACAATTTAAGAACATATTTATCCTCTTCTATTATAAATACTGTTAGAAAAAGAATGAGGCAGAGGCAGCTTATTACACTATACTATAAGTATTGTGAGTATCTCTTTACTAGTATCTACTACCAATTCTGACAACTACAGTGAATTTGGCTTACTTTCTACAGGTAGCTTACTGTATAGTAGTCTATTCAGATGTCTGTACACAATATAAGTAGTGTACAGGAATAGAGATAGCAGACTTTACTAATTTTAAAATAGGTAATATAGAGTACTTACAAGAGTAGGGTTAACTACAGACACTGTCATTACTACTAAGCTTCTTAATGCCCTCACAGTCAACCAGCCTACTAGGTGTACTACTATTACTATATATACATTCTTAGATTATTTTCCTTCTTAATTATTGTAAATAACAATGAATTGTATAAAATACATTAATATTATTATTTTTTGTTATTTAAATAATAATTAGATACAAAGGAAAATAATACCTATTAAGAGATATACAGCTTTATATAGATAACTATTCTACTACTAGAATATATTAATATTTATATACTACTCTATATTTGATTTTTCAGAACTATACACTTATAATACTATTATTCTACTATTAAACACAGTTATTAAGCAATATATGTTATTATAGTACTATTATACTATAGTCTACTATACTATTAAGTAATATATAATACTATATATTTATACAATTATAATACTATTCATTATAACCTTATACAATATTATATAGTACTATAGTCTTATACAGCTACTGTACTATTAATTATACAGCTATTTGAAATTATATAGTATCATAGTCTTATACAGTTATTTAAGATTATATACAGTTTTAAGTTACTATATAACTATATATAAATATGGGTTTTTTTGGTTTTCCTAATACAGCTCTGATACTGTAGTAATTTATCCAGTGTCAATAGCTATTCAGCAAAAAAAAACCACTTCATATAACACTAAAGTTGAGCAGTGCTCTCAGCTCTGAGGCTGAAGGAACTGTAATGAGACTTCTGTGCTAGCTGTGTGCTTGTTTACTACTTCATCATTCTGCTTCTCAGCCATTCTATTCAATAACTAAATTTCTTTACAATCTTATAATTTCGATCTGCAGCTACATGCTAATATGAGACTAAACATCAACTATCCTGCTATTCACACAGACTACTCTGTAGAAAGTGTAGAAAAGTGTTTAGGATCTTGATATTTCCATTCTCGAAATATCTCCTATTACATGTACCTGCACTGCACTGCTTGACTGATTTCACTTTTTTTGTTTATACTTCTCAGCCGTCGACAAGGGGCGGGTTATTGGTCCGCTTCTTCTCTTGTCCTTCTTGCTGGTGGTGCTGGTGTGTTTCTCAGTAGAGGTCCTGGCTTTCTGTACTTTCTTTTGACCCTTGTCTAGTATGGTTGTGTTGGCCTGCATAGGATGGTTGGGGTTATACTTCTGTAGTGTACCACCAGCAAAATCTACTATGTCATTTTCAGAGAGGTCAAATTCTTCAGATGACTCATCATTGCCTTGGGGTTCAGGATCCGGAGCATCAGTCATGGTAACGTCATTATACCCTTGGTTGGTTGTATTTCTATATTGCTGGGATGTATGACCTTCACACTTGGCACCTGATCCATAATAGTTTGTGTTTGACATGTTATTTAGGGCTGTTAGTTTCTGCTAGCATAATTTCTGTTAGCATTAAATAACCTATGCAAAAATGCCTGAGTAGTGTGTACCTGAGGTATATCTCTTAGATGTGAACTTTGTTGCTCTGGACTGGAGGGGCCAGAGTATAAGAGATAGCACTCTTATATTCCTTGAATAATAGTAGTAGCTGATAAAGAAATGCAAAGATGGTTCCTGGCAAAGTTTATTATCCAGGTAATAAGTGCTACAATGCTCCTCTAGGAAGTATGCAAATTTGAAATCATAGCATGGCCAAGACTAACATCTGTACTAATTAATGCTAACGATTTGTATGCAAAGTTGATAGTAGCCACACTTGCTTGAATGCAGCCAAGTTTGAGCTTGCATCTGTGATAGCTGATATCTCTGTAGAGTCTGTGCAAGCTTTTTCATACATACAATGTAAGACTATTCAGAATTTCAGATGTATTATGCAAAATTGAAGGTGCCACTAGGAGTCAGCCTTGATTTCCATTAATTCCTCCATTGAATGTGAAGGAATTTCTCATGATTACAACAAACGTCCCCACAATCATGAAAATAATATGAATAGTATAATTGAACCATGTTAACTCTCACTCCATCTCCATCCTGTAATTTGTCCATTGTCAAAAGCTATCTGACAATGAATGCATCTTATATAATGTCAAAACCATCTGGTACTCTACCTTATTTTCCTTTCCCTTGACGTACATAACACAGTTAACCTAAAACAACCATCTGCAGATAGCTACTCACAAGTGAGTATACAAAATTGCTCTTTCTAGAGTAACTATTCACATCAAGTAATTTGCCCAATACAACCTTTTTTTTCTTGATGCTAACTTGGTTAAGTTAGCACTATCCATTCGTGTCCATTCGTTTCTAGTCTAATAATTATGATAGAGTAATTACAAACACAAAATAGTTTGCTTTGTGAATATGGCGAAATTATCTTCATACTTTCCTAGTTCTAGTCTTTTCTTCTTCTGTAGATTGTACTAAAACCTTGTTGAATCATCCACATATAGGAATTGAAGATTCCAGCCTAGTGGTACAGTTGTGGTTAAGAGAACAGTAAGTACTTAACCCTTATTTTGAATCACTATTTTGATTCAAGTATGCTCATTAGCAACTTTCTTTTATTTGTAATCAGAAGTGACTAAAGTGTGCAATGCAATGATGCTGGTACCCGTTTGCTAGAACTATAAGTTGCTAATGAGTAGTATAAAAGTATGTAAAGAACAGTGCTTCCTCAGGGGATACAAACAAGCAGTATACTAAAGAAATTGTAGACAGAAGGTAAGAAACGTCTTATGTGTACAGATTACTCTGAGAAATATAACTCAAGCACGTTACCAGACAGAGATGGAACCTGAAGGATTTGAATCACTGTCTGACAGAGAGTACCAAGAAAAAATTTAAAAAAGTGTTAGTACAAGAGCGTGGAAAGCTTATGGATTGTGAGGCTCGGCACTTTTGCAGTGTGCAGGACTCTCAAGTTCACCAACTTGTTTTACAGGTTTACTTCTTTTATTTGGACCAAACATACGGGTTATAACTTACCAAGGCAAGGGTAAAGTCAGCACTGCAAGGCTCCGAGTTACTGGCAGTGTGTAGACTCTGTTTTCTTATTGTTGTTTAGACTCAATAGGAATATATCTCATAGGCGAATCTCAGGGTAGATACGTGTTTGACAAGCAGTGCAAAGTTCCATTGAGAACAGGACAAATATAGGCTATGGACAACAATGACATAACGAGGAATGCTCACTTGCATATAAGATCCTAGAGGCGATATGTGAATAATGTGATCATTTCAATGTTTACCATAGTGAAAATGCTGATGAGTGGGCAAATTGGGTGCATGACACGGTTGTATACATAAAAAGCTGAGAAGACCAAGGAACATTTCGCAAGGTGAAGAGAATAAACGCGAAACAAGCTTATGAGTCTTCTTTACGAATCATTGTGGTGGCCTCTGAGTCCAAGAGAGTGGCTCGAAAGATTGGACGTAGGAACCATAGGTGTAGTGTCTGCCATAGTAGAGCTGCTAATTAATAAGAATATGTTTCTGCTCATGCTATGTTGTGCTTCAACCCAACTTTGCCTCTGGCCCTCTGCTAGATATACAACATCAAGTTTTCACTTTTTAACAGCTTCCAAAGGATTTATCGAGCTAGGCACTAAGGACAAAATACAAAAGTAAAAGAAATATCATATAGGAACTAAAGAGATACAAGACTTGGAGTCAATAATATCAGAATATAAATAGTAGGATTAGTAGCTTAATGTCTGGGTTTGGTACTTGTCTAACTAGAATCTCAGCATGGCTTATACAATTTATCAAGACTCTAGTAACTCTAATATCCTCAACACTCCTATCCTCGGCTCGAGGAAGGGTGTCTTAGGCTTAGTTTTTAATATTATAGCTTTAATATATTCTTATCAGACAGTAACATAGTATTATCGTGCTGGCTTGATAGATGCTCAAAAGGTACAAGAATATCACACAAGGATAAGCAACACGGTCCTTGAGTTTGTAACTAAGTATAATAACGAATTGTTAATGCTGGACTCTGGTTGCCAATTGATATATGCCAACCTTCCATTGGTTTGGACGTGCTCCCGTATGACTTTTTATTGCAGTTACGTTTGCATTCAAGCTTGTACAGTATAGTGTCTAATCAGAACGCCGTCGTTTCAAGCCCCGGATTCTCCTTTCGTCCTTCTCTCTCTTCCGCTTCCCAACGTTTCGCTTCAGCTTTCTCTCAGCTGCGCGCTTTGGATCTACAGTCCGTTGTAGTTTGCGCGCGGTGGCACGCTCCCTCCGCACCGAGACAATACGCGTTCGGATGTTGGCATAAGTCAGTGCGAAGGTGGATGTGCCGACCTTAGATTGTAGGAGAGACTGAAACTCAGCACTTAGATTTTTCAACTCATCTAGAGCCGCACAAGTTGTGCATTAGTGATGATGGTTTTGAAAGTGGGCGTAGATTTAAGTACACGCACCCATCTGAGGATCTCGAATGATATCATCCTCCGCAATACGATAGACAGGTGCAAGAATGTGCGGTAAGTAGCGCTCAAGCCGCGGGCCATCCATGCAAGACACCATTGCGGCAAACCATTGAAAGATAGCCGTCAATTGCCGTGACCAGTTCTTTGCCTGATGCGGCTTGTTCACCCGTGTAATATATGCCGATCGTGCCTGGTATGAGAGTCGCGAGAACAGCCATGGCAGTGGATTGTCACCTGCTAATACTTCCTTTTCTCCATCTTCGGGTTCGGACAGCATCTCCTCGTCCACGTCGTCACCCGTATCCGAGACATTCGCAGCATCATTATCTGACACCATGTTCTTATTCTTTGTTTGATACTCTGGTGCCTGGATTGCATAGAAGCACTTTCCAACGTAGAACAGATTCTTTACTATTTGCAGGCTAAGCGCCTCGTCCAGATTCTCGCTCCTAAGCTGAAGGGAGAACGAGTTCGCTAGTCTTCTCATCCCCATAGCAGAAAGCGGGAAGTCATCTGGCAGATCATTGGACGGTGCACAGACCAGCGTCACGGAAAACAAGCTGCCAAGCAATCGACATGATGCTGTGCGGACCCAAGCGTGCGGATAAAGAAGTAAAGAGGCTATGGATGGCCAGGGAACCTTACTGTGATCCGATATAGTGTCGGGAAAGTGTTGGAAGACTTTTGAAAGAGAAATGAGCGCTTGGTAGGGGATCTGCCAATCATTCTCCGATAGTCCACGTTCTCCTTCATCGCCTTCGACAGACGCTGCCGCCGTTCGGACCTTGGAGTTCACATCGTTTAAAAGAAGACCGAGATAGGGTTTTGCATCGGACTTCAAAGCATCTAGTATCAGACCGTAAACTTGTGAAGAAACGCGAGCCAAGGCCGCATTGTCGCGCTGTGCTGCCCAGGAATGGGTATGCGAAACAATTGTCTTCTTCTGCTCATCACGTAGCCGATCTAAAAGCGTTTTTACTAGATGTGCAGCCATTTCGCGACATTTTGCTGATTCGTCATTCGCGATGACCAAGACTAAGGCGACGAAAAGCATGTCCGCGTATTCCTCGATAATCTCACCGTTGAATTTCGCAATAATCGCGCCAAGCAATTCCATCACGGACTTCCGTCCAGTTTCAAACACATACGAGAGGTTCTTGACGAAGAATGCGAACTGTTGCTTGAGGCGATCCTTTCCTTGCGGATAATCTAGCAAGAACTGTAGGAGCACGCCACGACAAAGTTCCTGAACTTGCGAAGACTGGCTTCTCACCATTATTTCCCCAACACGATTCATGAGATCGTATATATCAGGAACAACGAACTTCCGAGAAACAATCGCACGAAGCAACGCGAAAGCATTTGCTTGTCGATCGACTTCCTCTAAGTCTGGTGTGAGAAGCTCGAGAAGGAACGCCAGGTCTTTCTCCTTCACCTGTGATGACGAGCAGTCACGAATGATGATCGTCAGAGTCTTGAAGGCGGCTTGGACGGCGTCTGCTTCCGTGTTTCCTGTATCTCTGATTATCTGCAGAGTCTGGCGGACGAACATCGGCAATGACTTCTCAACATTCTTTAAAGGGGCCTTGACTATTTGCGCAGTTGCTTTTAGTCCAGATGATATCACGTTCCCATTCTTTGCGTAAAGAGTATTTCCGATGACATTCACCATTGGCTCTAGTCGTGTTATGATGTTTGCATCACTAAAATCGAAGCGACCGCGACGAAATGCAGTGTTGAAGAGGTCAAGACCGAAAGTGACGAATCTAGATAAGAAAAAAAGAAGAAAAAAGTCAGTACTCTAGTGATGAAACTCATGAATTTACGATTACACACCTCCACGAGTTATGGGAATAATGGTCGGCCTCCGGTTCAATTCTCCTCTTCAATTGTACTTCAGCGTTGTTAACCTTCTTCAGCTTCCGCTTTTGCACCTTCACATTTTCCTGGAAGAACCGCGCATTCTGACTAATTAGGGTATAGCAGAACATGAGCAACTCGGACAGTGCGAAGTGCGTGTTTCCATTGAGGCCGACAGACATGCGCCGTAGGACATCGTCAACGACCGACATTGTCTTTGCCGATTCCGTTTCTTGCATGATCGCTTTGATTGGCAGAAGTAAACTGCTCGTCGCAGCCGGCGTGATATGTTTAGCAAGAATCGCGAAGGAGTCCATACCTTTGCTCTTCGAGCCTCGGACTTCTTTCATCTTGGTCTTGAATCCCTCACTCTCAACATCTTTCCCTGACTGACCAAAGACTACCTCTGACGAAACATGGACGACATCCGGAACGCAATTGTCTAGATTCTCGAACTTCGTGGCATTCTCGGGCAGAGTAATATGCACGAGAACCGCATGTGTCACAAACGCCAAGACATGGAGATGAGGGCCTCGTGTTAGAGCTTCACGAAGTTGGCGAATGATCATAGGTAAATATGGTGATCCGAGCATTGCTGCGAGTCGGCAAAGCGTGTCGCGACTAATATCGCGCGTTTCCTGCGACTTGCTCCGGAAGATTTGAGACAGAATAGTGAGCAAGCGCGGGATCTGAACATCACGAGAAGCTTCCGGTAAGTGCAGGGATACCTTCACGATACCGATGGCTAGTGGTATCCTGTTGATATCTTCAAGTTCGTCTCGCTGTTCGAGGTGCTTCAGCAAAGTGGGCAACAACCGGTTATTGACAGCATCATGGATTTTCGTGGAAGCAGACGGTACATTCCTCTGCATCTGCTCAGCGTTATCCTCATCTGCTCCTTCTTCGGTTTCTTCTGTGAACGTATCCTCCATAGAGAAATGGAAGTTATCAAGAATGGAAACCAGTGCGCGGGTGTATGCCCTCTCCGCAGCATTCTTATCTGTAGCCAGCCTGATGTACTGCTGGACAAGAGAGAAATAGGCCGGCCAAACAAGATGTCTCGCGATGCGTCCCAGCGTCGTAATCGCTTCGTTAACGAGATGATGGTCCGCTGTACCAGATCCGGCAATGAAGCTGTTTACAACAGGTACGAAAATCTCTTGCAGTGTACTACTGCGAAAACCAGGCTCATCACAAAAGTCGGCTAAACGACGCAAAGCGCGATTACGACGGTGAACCTGAATATGGAAGATATTATTGAAGAAACTGGCCTCCTCGTCACCCGCAGCGAGAAGTACGCACATTTCTTGCAGTGCATTCACGTTTTCGCACTTCTCGACTGCATATGCAAGGACGGACATCACTTCCGCTCGTACGAGGTCCGACTTTGCACGGAGACAACGTTTTAGTCCGGGAAACAATACACGAACAAAACAGGATTGCATATCCGGATCCTGGGCTGCGGACAACGCATCGAGAAATCGCTTGAACGACAGAGCCGCATTACTCCGGATCGATAACTCCTCTTCATCTTGGATGAACAACAGCATATTATGCAAAAACGGCGTCCACTCCTTCGCGGAAAGCGTCTTCCATCGTTCTTCATTGAGCGCCGCAAACGCAGTCAATTGTCGATCAAAGTCCGGCTCATCTATCCGCTTCACAGAGTACGAGTTGAGAGAAACTAGAAGATCAGCAGTTGGCAAGAGACTTGAATCAACGCTTGAAAGCGTTTTGAACGCGTTCACAAGCGACACCCGCGCCTGCCTTCCTCGCAGAAGTTGGAAAAGATAAGAGAGCGTCTCGTGAGTCTTCCAGAACAAGGGGCCGTTATTCTGCATGAAATCGGGAATTTGTGGTATTAGGTAGCACAAAATGTCGAGCATGTCCACTTTAGACTTTTCCGGTATGCCCTTCCCAGCCCTACGCAGCTGCGGAAGAAAGATCGATAGTAAGGTCGCTGCTTGACTGCCATCAGAAATATACGGCGAAAGCTTCGAGAGAATCGCAATTTCTCGCTGCGCGACAAGACCAACGGATGAGGCTGAACCTCCAGCAGTAGAACGCTGGACTGCCAAAGCGATGTTATTTAACGCGCTCGACATGTATGGCTTCACGACTATTTCCGAAAACGAGTCATCCTCGGATGCGAAAACTAATAGACGTTCGAGTAAATCGAAAATCTTAATTTGCACAGTGGGCTTGACATTCGTTGCCACCAAGCAATCAAAGATCTTTGCAAGTGTTCGTTGATCGTATTTCACAAGATACATTGCTGTATCGGGACGTAAAGACCAAACGAAGAGAAGTTCGAGCAACGCGGATGGTGCTTGTGTATTCTCACGATCCAGCAGGGCGATCCGAGGGGAAATGACTGTGCGGAACAGTTCAGGCATGTACGGCGAGTAATCGAAATCTACGGGAATGCGGAAGAACTCGGTGATGCGCTTCAACCCTAATTGCCTGATGAGCCGAAATTGTCGCGATCGAGTTAACGAGTGTGAAGGTTTATCTATTTCCTTTCCATCGTCGTTCTCTTCTTCGTTTTCTTCTGCAGACCCTTCATCACCCTGAGTCGATCCTTGTAATTCACCTTGAGCATGCGCGGCTAACGTAAGCGCTAACACAATCAAGCGCGTCCATGACTTCACGATACGCGTTCCCAAATTCCGCAACACGTCTGCAAGGAACATCAAAAAGCCAATCTGCTGCTTTTCAGCGGCAGTTAGAGGTGCGACTCTCCCGAGTTTCCATAACCTTTCATTGTCGTCCGAGAGGTCGAAGTTGACTTCCTCTTTAAAAGGCTCGAGCATGAGATCAACAAGTAGTACCAGCTCGTCGTCTGTACAAGCTCCCAGGGTTCCCAAGAGTGCAGAACGCCGGTCGGTACCCTTCCCGCGTCCACCACGCTCACGCATCATGCCATAGAACAAGCGAATAAGAACAGGCACGATCTCCGTACGCTCGTCAGGTGTAAGTTCATGAAGGTCAAGCATGGCAAGTTCATCGCGCCACTTCGTATCATCGAGTAATCTCGTTAGCGTATCAGCCTTGCACGTTAGTGCTGGCGACTTGTACGTCTGAAGGCAGGATAACGCAGCGGACTGGATGGCCCTTTCCGGATGCGAAAGTAGGGAAATGTATACCGAGTGCACGTCATTGGATAAGTAGAAAGCCCTAGGGTTCGCGAATTTCGCTAATAATTTCAGCCAATTCGTAAGCTTGATGCGCGAAGCTTTCTCAGTGACTGATGATGGTGAGACAAACGAAAGGAAGAGAGGAACGAGATCTCGACTGTGTTTCTCTGCCAACGATGGAAATTCGCCCAATGCGACGAGGAGCTGAGCTTCGTACGAGCGGGTGTCAAATCGATCATGAGGCTTTTGCTCCTACATATAGAAGAATGAATACTTTGCACAAAATCATGACCAGAGCTACAGACCTCAATGATCTGGTCCTTGCACACGTCATTCGAAGTCCAATGCCTAAGGGTCACTCGGAACTTGTGCGCGCTAGGGTCGCGCCAACTCCTTTCCTCCTCAACGACTTCGTCTTCCTCTTCAGCACCGTCCGTTATCCATGGCGGAAGAATGGCGCTTTCTGAGGACGCATCGAGGCCTCTCAGCTCCTCAATCGTCATGCTCCATAAAGTATCTGGTGACCTTCCGGAGATACTTGCAAGCACTTGTGCGGCTGGTGCCCACAAAGGACGGAGGCCAACCTTCAGTTGACCAAGGAGCCATGCAATGCATATTCGTGTTATAAGATCGTCATCGAGCACAACCTGGCCCACCCGACCAGTGAGCAAAACACGTTCTCGCACACCCTGTACACTCAAAGGCACAAGTTCTGCTGCTAAACATCGCTTGATGCCATCCGCATTGCTGCTTGAGAATATCCAAGGTAAGCTGAGCAGTTCCAAAGATCTACGCCGGATTATGTGGGAATGCGATTTGAGGTTATTTGTCAGTCGCTCGACGATGCTCTGTTGGTCAGGTATTGGCTCGGATCCTGAATATTGACTACAATATAGTGATGAGCGCAGAGTTAGATGAATCGAAGAAATTCAGCAGTTAACCGTACCATGACTTAGCCAGCTCGGCAATACCCTCCATGACGTATTCTGACCAGTACCATCGCTTTATTGCATCGTATATCAGCCGGATAGCATCAAAAATTTCCGGTAAACTCGACTGCCTGCTCTTCGCAAGCACACGAACGACAAGGCCAAATACAAAAGTATTGTTTGCCCATGAGTCGGGATAGCATGGTTGGTCAGCTTGTCGGCCGACCAAGTCTTCTGCAATATGCGCAATAGGTTGTAGAAGGTCATGCGTGGACAAGATTGGTAAAAGTGGTAGTATCTCGACCAAAATGATTACCTTTATTAAGGTTTTAGTCATCAACAATAGTTCGAGTATTTTAACATTCTACTTACCGACTCCTCCGCGACAACAAACTGCTCAAGACATGCTCGAACCATTACCGTCAAACGGGAACGCCATGAATCGTCTACGGATTTCAACAGGTTGTTTTTAGCGAATTTGGAGAGCACTCGCAGTGTCTCAACATGTGCTGACGATTCCAAATTCGCCAGCAATCCAATAGATGTCTTCAGAAAGGGTGGCAACGCAAATTGGTTGAATCCCTTCCAGCCAGCTTCGAGTAGTGTGCCTGTCAGCGAAACCGCTAGAGTCTCGTCCACGGACCATGCGTGCTCGATTGCTCGACGGCCTGCGCCCATCCAGACGGAGAGGTCTGCCGATGACGCACATAACACAGCCGTAATTATTGAAAGAAATGGAACGCGGAGTGTTTCATCGTACGATATTTTGGTTGTCAAATCTAAAACTGTTGAGAGCTGTTTTGCTGTGGAGAGTTAATGTTGAGCGCATAATCATTAGCATCAGCATGAAAAGAATTTACCAGTCAAACGCGAATCCTGCCTGACAGAGCAAGGTACAGCAAGAACGTTGATAGTTCGCTTAATATCTTTTATTTCTGTCAAAGAACCGAACCGCGCAATTATCGGGTCCACAACCGGAGCAAACTGCTCCGGTTTTGAGCAATGATGAACTAGTGCTGTAAGTATACGTCGAATTAGCTTTGAGTTATCATCCAATTCGCCTTCCGAAACGGTAAGGTGATATTCGAGACACGTTATTATGAGCGGAGGGCCAGACGTATGTATCGTTTGTGCCACGCTCTACATCCAAGGTCAGCAAATCGGTTAGCTTATTAATGAATTTCGCCTTACCTTCGCCGTAAACACAAAAGACCACGCAATGAAATCACCAGAATCATGTGCTGATCCTATCATAAGTCGTACACATCGCTCTCTGTCGTCCTTCTTTAACCGACGAAGCAAAGATGACCACATTTCAGCAACAGCCCTTTGAACTTCGGGATTGCACTTCATAAGCGTTGCCCTCAGTCGACTCCAGGTGGATGATAGAATATCAGTACTTTCTAGATCTGATATCCCAGGAACCAAAACGTGTTTGAACACTGTAGTCAGAGATCCCAGTAGTGCTGATAGTATTTCTGGTTCTAGACGACGAGGTAGTAGCTCGAAAAGACAATCGGTAATTGCCTCATAGTCTGGAGCGATTATTGTTCGAAGGTCCTCGACAAGCTTCTGGAGCAGACTTGGTAGAAGTCAGTACTTGACGAAAAAGCAGAACTGATTACATACTCCAATAAGGCCTTTTTTGCTTCGTCGTCTGACTTTCGGATGCAATCGAGCCATAATTCGGTTACTTCCTTCCATGAGTGTACAAGGAGTGCCAAAGACTGTGACAGGGGTAGAGCGTTTCTCGAGAAGGAAATGAATGAGGGCGATAGGTTAAGTTGCATCCAGTGCGAGAGAGCTCCGTGGAACAGGCATTCCTCGTCCTATGGATTGATTGAGTATGCTCCGGTCTTATAAAGACGTGAGAATGCTTTACCTCCAGTGCCTCATCAGCCTTTGATCGTTCAAGAGCTGAAGGTGCATGAACTTCCTTCAGCTGCTCATTATATGATTGGAACTATCAAAATGTCTGGTCGGCTCTCTGTCTCGTGTGGATCGAACTTCAAAATCCACTAACCTTGAACCGCTTCACCCTATGTCCATCTTCATCGTGAATATCCGCCATCAAGCCTCCAATGGCACAGAGAATGATACTCGCCAGTTAGAGGATGGGGTGGGTAAGTAAGACCAATTGACCCTCGGCAGCAAAATTTTGGGACATGCTTGCACGTGATCGCTGCAAACCAAGAATATATATTAAGTAATCGAAAATATTTACCAATTTGTTGCTACTTTCATCCTCTACTCTACAAAGACATCTCAAACTTTTAATTATTCATAAAAGAATGAGCCTGTCAAACTTACTTACAAGTAAAGCCGTGGATGAAGGGCTGGATGACATATTCAAATCGAGTGTGCGTGCACGAGTCTTGTTCTTAGTCTTAGGAACGGCAAATGCTAATAGACGTTTAGGCAGGACCATCCAGTGCAGCAAGCACTGTGCCTGCAAAGAGTACTAGTGCAGCCAAGAAAAGATCTTTAGATGGCACAACGGAAGACAAAACCGTAAAGACGTCTCAGAAGAAGCCTCGTGTCTCGACCTCATCAGTCACGAAAAACGATGAAAATAAAACACAACACAAGAAACAGAGCAAGGAGGGGAAGCGGGCAGAGGTCAAAGAAGAAACCAATATTAATGAGGTGAATGCAGGGAGTTCAGACGATGACGACGACGACGATGCGCGTTTCTCCATCCCGCAACATGAGTCGTTGAAGAGATCCGAGAAGCGTAAGAAGGAAGGGACGAAGAAAGTGAAATATGTGCCGGAAGGCGAAACGAAGGAATGGCGTGACGCTAGGACTATTTTCATCGGGAATTTACCAGTAGCAGTTGTGAAAAGCAAGGTATTGCCATTTTCACTGGGTTTCTATACGTGTATCTAACGATATATACGCTGCTCTAGCCGCTTACGAAGCAGTTGAAACGACACATCCTCTCCTATATCCCTTCGGCCGAAATAGAATCCATTCGATATCGTTCTATTGCTTTCAGTAATCCTACGGCCACGCTGGAGGAAGAAACCGACGAAAAAGTATCAAGGAAACAGAAGAGGCAACAGAAACGCACTGCAGATTGGCGTGCGCAGAAGGAGGATGCAAACCACGTTTCAAAACAGGAGAAGGAGGAAGAAGAAAATAAGAAGGGAGAAAAGTCCTACATGACGCCCGCGGAAAAGCGGCGCCTGGCTGCGATAAAGGGAGAACTCCACGAGCACAGTGCTGCGACTACAAATGCGTACACCGTTTTCGCATATCCGGTACCTACCGAGTCAGACGAGTATAAGCCACCTGTACCGCGGAAAGAGGTGATGGACCCGTTCGCTGCGGCTCGCGAAGCAGTTAACAAAATCAACGGAACTTTCTTCGCTGAGCATATGCTTAGAGTCGACTTCGTGAAAAAACCCGCTGACGTGCAGACTTCTTCGGAGTCTACTGCTGCAGTTGGAGCATTGACGGATCCCAAGCAAAGCGTCTTCGTAGGTAATCTTGATTTTGCTACCAGCGAAGACGATCTACGCGCCTTTTTCGAGGAGGTTATGTGCGAGGAGCGAGGGCAGCCCAGCTCTGACATGAATGTGGAAGACGGCAAGGCAGATACACTGCAAAAAGCTAAATGGGTTACGCGCGTGCGTGTTGTACGTGATCGGGAGACTCAGCTCGGGAAAGGTTTTGCATATGTCCAGTTTTCTGTATGTCTTCTCTTGCATGCTTACTTCCCGTTTGTGTTTCAAGACATGCTCACCATTAACCAGGACCGCGAGTGTGTGGACGAAGTCCTCGCGCTAGAATCAGATAAACTCAAGTTCGCGAAGCGTACTCTCCGATTACAGCGCTGCAAATCAGGCAGTGCAAAAGCAGCGAAACCCCAGTCATCGCCTTCCACGCCGAAGGTCACTTCTGGTACCACAATCAACCCTCGTTCACGACCATCCGCCATCGACCTTCCCAAGGGTGACCCAACGCTCGGGCAACGAATCGCCAGTTTACCGAAAGAATCTCGTAAACAAGCCAAGGCTGCCGATCCAACTCGCGTTGCTCGGCGACTTGCTAAAAAGAAAGCGCGCATGGCAATGGAGAAAGCCTCCGGAAAAGACAAACGCGTACGAGAAAGGAAAGACAAGAAAGCGAAGGGCACGTTGAATACGGGTCGGAAGGGGAAGAAGAGAGAACGAAGTCAACGGAATTTGGAGAGGAAAAATATAAAGAAATGATGATGGTCGTATTCAGTAGTTTCTTATGGCGGTTTAGCGGTCATAAACTCGTTGCAACGATGTATATTCATTCGGCGATTCACAGTTTTACAAAGCAATAAAAGACAAGAAGCAGAAGACGACTTAATCTGAATCAGACCCGTCACTATTTCACCAAGTCGTCACACGTTCATCCAACGCATATCCAACAACTCACCCCTTGCTGCCTGCAATCTCTCATACTTCCTCTGCAAACTAGCACGACGGGAAGCCACAGCAGGCGACTCTTGCAGCAGATTTTTGCACCTCCCGCGCGCATCGTCCTTAATGATGGTTGTGTATAACGCAGTCTGCAAGTTATCGCTAAGTGCCCGAACAAAGTCGACATCGACAACGAGAGGGACGAGGTCGATGATTCTCTTGCATGACACTGGATATATGAATCCTCAGCTTATACAGATAGCAAAGACAAACATCCGGCATACCCTGGAAATATGCGCTAACCTCGGCCATCAGATCAAGCGCAGGTGCGAAGTCGTCCTCCGGTAAAAGTTTTGCGAGGTCCGATGCCTTAACGTCCTTGATATTCATCCTGTTCAGAGACGAGAGCACCTCGCTGACGTAGTTCGCGCTTCTTCCTGAGTTAAACGTCTGGATGTATGTAACCGGTGCGTTGTTGATGACGTTGTACCTATACATCTTGTAGTACGCAAGGAATTTGCTCTTGAATTCCTTCAAATAACGAGTGTTAAGTGTGAACGGACGCGCTTCGAGCCGCAAAAGCCATTTCAAGCGTTCTTTAGTTTCTTCGTGGTATTTCTGGATTTGGGTGCGAATCTCCATGCTGTAGTTTGAGATAAGTCTTAGAGGAGACATGAGGTAAGTGACATGAATGGACGTACTGCATTATATTCAGGAGACCACCTATTTCGAAGTTCTTGAAGTGCTCCTCTACGAGGTGCTTGTAATGTTCCGAAACTAATCCCAAAACATCTTCAAAATACGACATTATCAATGCACACCAATTTGTGGATGTTCGCGCAATGATCATCTTCGGGACTTCGTAAGGATAATAATCGGGAAGTTCGCGTGTCCGAGAACTACTCAGGATGAATATTTCGATAGCCTCTCGAATTTGTTCGGAGACGTTACTTACCGCTTCAGTAGATCCATGACTTCATCAATATACATGACAAGTCCCGATCCTGAGACCATACAGTCCTCTTCTTCACCATCGAGAAACTCACATGGCGGCACTTGAGGCATATCTGCCGCCGATTCACTGTACTTATAAGGCCGAAACTCAGGCGCGAGGGACAGTATTGATCGCCTGAAATAAGCCTGCTTTGCGTTTATCCCCTGTATCAGTCCGTCGGGTGCAGGGACCCCTTCTGAGTGTCGGGAAACGTCGGCACAAAATGCGTTGATGAGACGCATCATTTCGGCTAACGCGTCTTCAGATGGTGGGACTGGTAAGTATTTAAAATCCTCGTCCGTTTGTTCTAAGAGTTCTTCCACTTTCTCTCGCAAATCCGGAAGCCTAACGCAGTACATAAATGTTACTGGCTCATTGATCAGGAGATTGCAAAGACAAACATACCTCCGAGCAATCAGACTTGATAGGGTCTCACTAAGCCTCTCAACAAGGTTCATTCTACCCAGGCTCTTCTGATACTTAGCTGGGAGCAGATTCCAGGGATTCGTTGTCTGGAACCATTTTGTCTCTGCTGCATGAGCTTCCTCCCATGTAAGTCCGGTTTTGAGCTGAATTGCATCTGGCTGTTTAACGCAGAACCATCCCAACTCGAGCTGTTCTTCTTCGTCCTTAATAAACCGGACCCAAGGCTCTTCGTCACCTTCCGCGATTCGATCAGGCTTGGTGAGCACACCTAGGCTTTGAGTCAGCCAATTGGAGGCATGTTCAACATAAAATAGTTTTCAGTACCGATTGTCCTTGAACCATGGCGATCATATTTCTTCACGAACTGATAAGCCGCTTGAGTCACGAAATCGGCTGAAGATTGTGACGATTCAACATAATAGACGATTCCTACATGAACTACAAAGCTTACCTTCACAAGCCACAACAAGCAGGATGAGCGTACTCGGCTTCTCGACGTAGGACCTGACCAGGTCTTCAATAAGAGGTATATCTGCCTCCTTTCCTTGTCGGGCACTTGAAATCATTCCTACAAAGCAGTATGGTGTTGGTTAATTAAGATTAGGCAATGACATGTAAGTGATAATACCTGGGAGATCAACAAATGACAAGTCTGCTGTATTAGGACTCTGTATTTGAATCGAAATATAGTTTTTTGAGAAAGTCAAGTCTGTGGGACCTGACACGTTTCCTTGCAAGAAGTCCCTCGGGTTGACTGACGGGCTGAGAACAGCACGCTGAGCTCGTCTTACACGGTCTTCAACATCAGCTGACTTGAAGATTGGTTCGCCAAAGGGAATAGTTTGAGCAGCACCAAGAAGTGAACCGTTCTCATCATATATGAAGTGCAACGACACGTTGCACCGCCAGATACCGGTGCAGTGGTTCATTCTCAGCTCAATTGGACACCTGGGCACAAATAATTTTGCAGAAGTAAGCAACCCGGACCATAAAACGAAGTTCGGAATGTTTTACCTTGTACAAGTACCACTTGCCCTCGGAAGTTTGATTCCGGAGATAGCTTCAATCAATGAGGATTTTCCTGGACAGCGAGTAAACATTCTGTAAGGAAATATGGTAAACTGCCGAGTACGCACCGACATTCTGTGGACCGACTGCCACAATTTGCGGGAGATCCAGTTCGTATTGCACACTTTACAGCAGTCAATAATCAGCTCTGACGGAATGATCAAGCGATAAACCACTGACCCAAGTGAGCGTAGGCGATCTACGAGTTGCATCAACGGTGGTTGTCGCCGAGCGATATATTCGGCTGACAGGCCGACACCAGTTGTGTTCGGTAGCCGTGCTGGAGGGCCATCACTTGCGTCACTGTCGGAAAGACTCGTCACTGTAGCTTCCGACAGAGAGTCAGAGTCTGAACACGGCGTGACGCCTCGTACAGAATCCGAGACGCTGGAAGAATGTACATCGTCTGCTAGAGTAATAAATGGGAACATTCTAAGCGGTAAAAGATACCAATCTTGAAGCGGGGGATTGGTGAGCCTTCGTTACCTCGAAGACATTTTATAAGGACCGCACGAGATAAGGGCACATTGAGCGTCCCAGGACAGTATCGCTGCACGTCCAGGTGCATTGAAAACAGTTAGCTGAAAGGAGGTACTCAATTACCGAAGGTATGGCAGGTAGACCAGTACAAGGCTACTAATGATCGCGTGTATATTTCGTTCCGTAACATAGAGCTGCGTAGAACAAGTAGGTAAGATGGAGGGCGGCTTTCTCTCAGTACGGTTAGGGGCCATGAGGTTATCCTGTTAGACCCATAAATGTCGCGCAGCCGTGGTAGGGGGACCTTCAAGCGGCATGCTGCGGAAAGGCTAGGACTACCAATGCCAGCATTATCAAGCTAGGATGAGGGCTGCAACGTGGAAGTAAGGGGTTACTCGGCATTCGACGACAGCCAGAGCGCCAGCCTGTAACAGGCTCCCATTGACTTTTCTCCCAACGGAACACTTAATTTTTTATTTGCAGAGACGGATGTTCAGATGAAAGCGTAAGTATGATATTTTGCTTACAGTACAGATTATATCATTTGGACGTGTGCATCCGCGATTCATTAGGAAAACCGTCTATTACAACAATTAAGCGCTCCCGAGGAGCTCCTTTGCTTCACGTGCTGGTCTTGAAATTACTGGACGATCCGCAGCGATACTCTCTTGAACTTTCCGGGCTACACTTGAGGAGACATCAAGCCGCTCGAAGAGGTTAGGAGTACCATCATCATCGGCAGAGCTATCTTCCTCGTCCTTTGACAGAACGGCTAGGATTGAATGCGACGAGAGTGCCGAAGGAGGGGTACCTGCAAGAAGGTGCTCCCTGAAAAGATCATTAGCGCCTAGGAAGTAATGAAAGAACTCATCGACGTACTTGACTATAGGACGAAGAAGTTCAGCGAAGAGACCAAGAGCGGTGAAAAGTGATGCCACTGCCTTCACGTATTGTTCTGAATGAGTTCTACATTAGTCTTGACAATATGTGGCAAAGGATCTAGAATACCGTCATGCGATTCTTTGTACGTCTCCTCAACTATTTCGATGCAGGCGTCTCTTGCTTTCTCCCCTACATTCTGACCTGCGCTCCTAATTACACGACTCAGTGCCTTGATTTGACTGGCTGCGATAGCTTCCTCGGAAGTCTTTGCTCCCGTAATGAGTTCGGTAACCACGGGGTCTACCCTTGGTTGAGACTTCATTAATTCACCGAGGGCAGTTGCAGCTCTGTTCCGAACAGCGAGGCTACTTGGATCGGCTGCGGCCTTGACGAACGTACGCTGCAATTGGGGGAAGAAAGGCCTCACGAAACTGGGGATGCGAGCAAGCATCGTTGTGAGCGCACTTATGATTGCAGATTTCACGCCTGGGGGATAGCTTGTAGATTGTGCAGCAACACGGATAAGAGGCCCAGTGAATGGTACAACAAACGGCTTAATTGCATTTTCCTCAGTTCGGAGAACCAGATCCCCAATAGCATAGGCAGCATTCTCGCGCTGTTCGTTGCTGCCCGTCGTTAAACCTGCAATGATTATAGGTACCATGGGTGACACGCCTTTGTCAAGACTGAATCCGGGCACGGATCGACCAGGTGCTCCAGTTGACTCGATGGATCGACGCAAAGTGACGACCAGAGGCTCCAATTCATCCTTCGGTACTGATTTAACGAAAGTATCAAGAGCTCGCCAGGCCTCGGTGTGAACTATCACCTCGTGATCGTCTAACAGCTTGACAAGCTGTCGAATCCAGTCAACCCGATAAAGCGAGTCATCCAACCCGCTTTCTTCGCAGAAGATGGCAAATAACTTGCAAGAGCTAGCCCGTCGAACTGGCCCGCCATTCTGAACCCTGAATATACGTTCAGCCAAGCAGTTTATATGGGTCAGACCGTACTGACATACCAATCTAACAGGAGTAGCATTAAAATATTTAGACCCTCTGCATCAGCTACAGAGCTTAGCAGGGCCTTGATGGCTTCATCGACAGCCTCCTGTAACTCGTCGTCGTTGTCGTCCTCAAAACAGCTCACCAATGCGCCTAGCACTTGAGTCAATCGTCTACTAAGCGCACTACCAGCTACCGTGACTAAAGACGCCAAAGCTCGCGCATTGAATGCGGTCATGGGAGATGCAATTAAGGTAGGAATGAGGATAGGGAAGACGGTATTGGCTCGGACCTGAAATGATCGTCAGGGCACAGGTCTTCTGCAGAAGTGTATACGCACATTCATGACCTCCTTAAGAGCTTGAAGTGCAGTCCCAGAGCTGTGTCCAGGCTGGCGCAGAGCTTGAAGAAGTGTCGGAATCGTCTGGTCAATAGCTTTTGTGCCAAGGTGTTCTTGTAGACTATCAAAGGCCTGGGCAGCGGCACTGCGGACGTTTGCTTCGTCATCCACGAGACGAGCGCGGACGATGGCGACGATATCGTCTTCATGACCACCCCTCTGAGTATCCGTTGCATTTGCCCTATCGACATATCAGCACCTATGGCTACGTGCACAACGAGGGGACGCACATAATATCGCACAAAGCAAGACAGGCTCCTTCTCTAGTGCGACTGTCCGAAGAAGTAGATTTAGCCCGAAGGATCGAAAGGATTTCACCCAGCATCCTTTCTCCAGATTTCCTACAAACTTCGCCAATGGTACGAGATGCCGTCTGCAAATGCATGCATTAGTACTTCTTTCGTAAGGTGTTACTGAATGACGATCCAACCTCTTGAGATTCGCCGCTCTCATTATCAACGAGAAGGTTTATGAGCTGTTTGACAAGCTCCGGTAGCAACTCTCGGACTGTATGAAAGTCATTTGACTACGATTCGAAGCGAGACATGATGCCATTGACATACCTGTTCTAGGCGTATTGTGTACCAATACCTTCCAAATGTGAATAGCAGACTGTCTGACCGTGCTGACGGCATCCTGACGAACAATATACAAAGCTGTAAGAACGCGATCCCGCCTTTCTTTACCAAGCACGTCTCCAAGTGCCTTGCGAGATGTATCCGCTGCATTCATTTCGACTTCTACTTCTTCTTCAATTTCTGCCTTGCCACTAATACCAGCAACTTTGAACAGCAGTTCACCGACTAAAGTAATCGAAGAGTGCTAGAAATGGAATGATGAGCGTATAAGCCATTGGTCGGGTCATGGACAAGACGTACCCTAATACGCCAGCTCGAGTCGAACATTCCTCGTTCAAGCTCAGGTAGTAGGAGATCGATAGCTCTATTAGAATAATTTGTGATGATCATACGACCTGCCCGCATTGCTGCTTCTCGCACGTATTCTTCCGTATCTGAAAGGCCTGATAGAATCGGACCGACAATCTTTGTTAGATGTGGCTGGAACCTTGCACCAAAAGTAGCTGGTAAATAGACAAGTAGAGACATGAAACCTTCCCGAACAGTACTCCTCGGGGACTGCGCGTTGGATACGATATCTGGGAGCAGCGCCTCCATCCGCTCCATACCGAGCCCTGCCAAAACCTCACTCAGACCTTGTGCCGCCCCCTGCCTATCAACGCCAGACGCGTCCGTTTTGAGTGTGCGTAGCAAGTTAGGAACCATGTCCGGAAACTGTTCTTCGCCGAGCCGCTCGATAAGAGTTCCGAGGGCTTTTGCAGCGGTCGCACGCGCTTCTGGAACAGGGTCAACGAGTACCACATGAACAAGGGGAAGGAGCCTTGTAAGATAAGGGGTGAAATCTTGTGAGTCGGTTAATGAAGCAAGATTGCCAACAATCTGTGTTGCTTTCCGTTTCGTGTCAGCGCCACGTTCTTTGAGACCCCTTTCAATGACGGGCATCACCTGAAAGAAACTCTGTTCAATACAACCAGGACGATCGGTTAGTGAGACAACATACCAGAGCTAGCGAAGGAGAGTCGATGTAGTGCACGAATGACTTCTTCAACAGAGAAGTCATTGCTCCAGGAGTCTTGGCCGGATCGACCAGTGCTTTCAGCAGGACAGGGACCAACGACTGTATCTCCGGATTGCTGATAACTTCACCAAACTGTTTCAGACTCTTATTCGCTGCCGTCCGAACTTGGGCATGCGAGTCTGTTAAGACCCCCGTAAGTCGAGGAATCACTGTTGGTAGCGAAATCGACAATTGCCGAGGAGCGCAGAAGGCCATAGTCCCGAGAAGTTCGATGGATCCCTTCTTCGTTCTCCATTGTTTCTCGTCCAAGCTAGATAAGAGAGAAGGAAGGATGCATTTGACGCCATAGCCTGACAGGTTGGCCATGACGACCTTAGCGGCATCCTCTGTTGCTTCTCGAACGTCTGGCACCGCATCTCCGAAGGAAGCGAGAAGAGAAGGGAGAAGCTCAATTATATATGGTTCAAAGCTCCTTCCAAGAGTCGCAGACAGAGTTTCCAGAGCGAACATAGCACCTTGTCGCGGTTCATATCGCTTCTTCTCGTCCAGTGCAGCACGTAGGCATTCGACAATATCGAGCTGGCTTATCCCTGAAATACCAACGCCTTTAATAACACCAGCAAGTCCATAGGCTGCGCCCTTTCGTTCTCCATATTTTGGTGCATTGAAAAGCTCCTGCAAGAGGCCCTCGACTAATTTCGGCACGTTGGTCTTGTTATGTGTGACAAGTGGAGCCAAGCACTCGGATACGGCGGTTTGGACTTGCTCTGAGGGTGTCTTTAGGGCGTCGATAAGCCTGGAAATGACTACTGGGACTCTCGCATCGTCTGCATTTAGATGACGAGCAGTTCGACCCAATAGGATAACGGTAGCTTCCTTCACATAATCGGCAGTTCCCGTTGGCGACGTGGGAGAAGCCAAGTGCTTCTCGAACATACTGATGAGCGGTTGGAGCCTCTCAGAACCACGAAGGTCTATAACCTTGCAAGCTGCCCTTAACATTCCTGAGCGTACTTCCGACTTCGAGTCGCCGAGCACTTCCTCCTCGATCAGAAACTGGAAGAATGGCTCGAGGATCTCGTCCTGGAACAATGGAGCTAAAGCCTCAAACGACTGAGCAACAGCGAGACGCGCTGGCCATGGATCAGTCGCTTCTAGCGAACGTGTTATAGGAATACCCTATGTAAGCGACTGTCAGGATCATATTGAAAAGAAGAAACTTGTTTCATATCTCTACAGCACTTACATACTCGTCGAACTCCGGGCCACTGATCTTTTTCTACCTCGACATGAGTATTTCGCAGCTGGGGGCGGAGAGATTCGTATACACACCTTTTCGCGATAGAGGTCCTGTAGAGAGCGAATTATAATCGACGCCTGCTGAGGCCACTGAGCCGTAGCTCCCGTAAAGGAATTTGCACAGCTCGCGCGAACACACGCAAACTCATGGACTATATAGCCATGTGTAGATCAATAAACTGATACCTTTACATAAACGCATTCGTTTACATACCAAGGAAAGGTCGTAAGTCTGTGAAGTACGAATCAGGTATGTCAAAGCCGTTGTCCTCCCAAATGTGTCGAGCCAACCGGGCATTCTGCTGATCATTATCGTGACAAGCGATCCATAGCTCCGGGCTCCAATCAAGTTCAGTCAAATCCAAAACCTAATCATAGTCAATGACCTTATTAACGAAGATAAAACAAGCTCAGTAATAGTACCTGTAGGCATTGAAGAGCTGAGTTCCTGACATAAACCTCTTCTGCCAGGGTACTGCTAATTAAGATATTGTTTTCTTCCGGTGTCGAGTTGATGCGAATGGCTTCCCCAATACCAATTAAGACCGAGGACGCGTCCTTTCCAAGAGAAGGGTGTCTCTTGATGATGCGCAGTAAATTCGTCAGTGACTGGGATCTCGGGAATTTTTGATCAGAAACTAGGAGAATAGCATGTTGAGCACCAATGCCAAGAGTCAAATTCAAGGGATGTGAACATACACGCTGTCGTGTGGAAGCTCATGATGTTTATAACAAGCGCGACACGCTCGAGGGGCTCGTCTTCCTCAGTGCTTCCAATGACATCACCATTCTCAACGACACATGATAGTAATGGCGAAACGTAGGAGAAAGTTGGACCGTCGAAAGCGCTCTGCTCAGATAACGTACGTAGCCTGTAAAGGACTCGCAATACCAATGCTAAAATGAAGTTAGCATCGCACGACCACTACCCTCAACGAACGAATACTAACCATTCAATGGTTCTGCCCGAACTTCCTCAGACACTACCATAGCGTTAAGACATCGCAAAGTAGCAATGCAAATCCAATCACTAAGCGAGTCTAATCTAGCAGCACAGTACTGACCGAGGCCCTAGAATAATCGTAGCGATATCAGAAGTGTTTCTTCACATGGACTAGAGAATCTCTCACTAGATATCCATCCAGGACTTGCGATCCGAGAAGTAATGCACCTCGCTTCACAACACCGGAAAGGAAAAGATCAACAAGCTCCGCGAAGTAATTTCCCAACTCCTCGATACTCGCTTTGATGGTGCTGTGCAAAAGTGCAAGCCCTCGCTCTGCTTTCTTGAACACTCCGTCAACGCGTTTTCTTGTCTCGGACTCAAGGCGTAGCTGCGCAGCGACCAGCTCCTGGTCTTGTTTCGATAAAGCCTTCGAGCCAGCTGCTGGCTTCGCAGCTTTCTTCGAGGCAAGAGAAGCCCGCAGCTCCGCTTCCCATTTCTCAATGTCAGCATTCTTGCCCTTCCTGCTGGCAGCATCATTTCCCTTCGAAGCGAGGACTAAATGCTAGATGTAAGCCTGAGCCGCATAGACATAGAACACTTACTTACCGTCGACATACAGTGTGCCTTCCGGCGTTCTCCACACTTCTACATCTTCGTCTGACACAGTTGAGAAGTTGGCGGGATTCAGATCTTCCTTTATCTGGGCGACGAGTGTCGGAACGACCACTTCGGGCGCGACAAATGCAATAGTCGTTACTGCATTTCGCACCGCCTGTGAACTTTATAAATATCCACGACCGGCGCATGCACACATGAATATTTTACCTTACTAGGCTCTTGACCGACGACGAGCGACACGAGATGATCCTTCTCATTCTCGATTAGTTGATGAGGATCGATCTTGTCTTTCTGACATAGCCCAATCCACAACTGTCCAGATGAGCTAGCTTGAAAAGCAGAGTCAGTGTCATTTACAATCCTGGTCACGCAACGTCAAAATATCAGATGCTTACAAATTTCAAGTCGATGAGCAACTGGTAATAGATCCGCAAGAAGACGCCCTTTCTCTGAAACCTCTATCTCATCAGAGAAGGCAGCACATGCTGTCAGTACTGGGACGAGCTTTCTGACCAGACTATCCTTCTGGTGTGGTACGGTATGATACATTTGTGTCACTTCGTCATCTGATACCGATATCTTAGTTTTGCCCTTCTCTGGTACGTGGTCAAGACGGTCGTAAATTGCTACGCGGAGCATTTCATTGACAAGTTGAGGCATTTGAGCATTATCTGCTTCTAGAGTCGAAACCGACGCTCTGCGGACTTCAAGATGTTCGCTCTCTGCTGCTACATGAAGGAAAGCTTGACCAAATTGCCGACTAGGGTATCGACATGCAAGGTTAACAAGCACGAACATTTTAGCAATAAAATAGGAGTTACTGACCGAAGACTTTCATTCTTCTTCAATTCAGCCTTAAGAGCGCTGAGAGCTGCATTCAGAGCACGAAGTAGCCAAACTTCGTCCTCCGCTGAAGTTAGCTTTTGGTAGACCTTGTCCCATAATAAGAACGACGGTTTCGTACTAGTTCCCGTTACCGTTTGAGCCGTCATGGTACGTGCCACCATAGGCCCTAAGTACGAATTTAGATACGCGTTTAAACGATATACGGAAAAGCAAGGTACCAAATTCAGCATATTTTGCGACGGGACCCAACAAACTTGCAATTGCGACGTATCCATCCAACGGTCCAGCAGGTGGTGAAAGCGGATTCGCTGTGACAGCTTTGAGATTTCCTTCAAATGCAGGTAGTACTGCTTGTACGAATCGTCTCAGAGCGTCTGTCTGAACGCTCGCCTCATCGCATGCCCTGAGAGTTTCACCCACAAGGGAACAAACAGAACGACGTAGTGCTGGCTTAGCACCTTGCATTTCCTTCACGATAGTCGCCATAAAGGACGGAGGCAAGGTCATCTCTTGCTGCAAAATAAATACGAGGTGCGAAACACTCGCTTTCGCAAGCGCCGAGGTCGCAACCTCGCTAGTCTCTTTCACCAAGAGCGGGGGCACATTCTCCGCAATCGATCCGGAAATGATAGTTGATGGGTTTATCGAGGGAAGCATTGAGTAAAGTGCGATGCGATGATCTGGCCCTGTGGATTTCCCGCTCTTGACCGGGTTCATAATCTCGTTGATAGCATGTTCCTCGTTATTAACATCCCTGTTGCGTTCAAGAAGGACTTGGAAGAGTAAGACTGCATTCACGCGCGTCGAAGGGTTGCTCGATTTGACAGAGTTCATGATAATCGTCGTTATTCGTCCGAAGAGGTCACTTTCTAACCTGTGCGGATAGACTCGGAAAAACTCGACCATAACTACGTACACGTCGTCAGCCAAAGAATTTCTGCAAGAAATGAATAAACGTACCCGGTAATGCAACTTCCGGTGAGCGTAGCGAAGATTTTTCCATCACTGGAAGTATTGTGGTCTTGAAATCTTCTTCAGAAACAGAAGCTTGTATGAAGCCGTCTAATGCTGAGGAAACGTGCTTTGCGACGGGCACTTTTGACATCAATACGGACGACGTATAGATCTGAATAATCTGTTTCTGAAGAATAGTTCAACAACTGTCCTCCGAGACGAAGGCAACACATCTACTCACTTGTGTCTCAGGAGCCAATTTTTTGAGCTCATCCGGTACGCGTTTTAAATGGTATTTCACATCACATGCGAGGCCAATTAGCGATACCAGGTAGATATTCGTCGGACTCTCTTTGAGAAGTGCAAGGGCGGTTGAGATAACTGCAGAAACTTTCTCAGGTGACTAAGTTGACGGTCAGTCAAGGACACAGATAAGAGATGGTGTGTATGCTCACGGATCGGAATGCACGGCGTGTGCAGACAACAGCGTTTTTGCGAAGCGTCGGTTTGGCTGGCGAGCTTTCATCCAGCAAAGAGTTCAAGAGCAAGGCTATAGCTTCTATAAGTGACTTCTGCTCTTTCGAGTCTGTCGTTCTGGAGCTTGATTTTGCTGTTACTGTATAAATACAACAGCACCATTTTATGAGAACAAAGCAGTTTCCCGCAGCAGCCGACCTGTTTCAAATTGTCAGATAATGATATTCTGTGCGATACACGCATATCACTCGCCGTGAGGCTCCTTTCTCAGATATCCCTCCCGCCTCTGATCGAACCCATTCGACAACCTGGTCCAAAATTCCACACTCTGGCTTAACGAGCTCTTTAATTACTTGTTCAACGGAGTCTCGCGATGGTTGGTCAATGTATCGCGGATACGTCAATATAAGCAACCGGAAGATGGCTAATGCTTCACCCTTCGATATCTCTAAGGCGCAGTTAATTACCGACATGTCAAACAGTCATAGTAGAACAAACCGGAACTCTTCGTTAACGGCAGTACCTGGTCTTTGAGAAATGTAGTTCGTTCAGTCGTCTTGCTACTTAGGATCCGCCTTTGTGCGTGTTGCAGGAACCCTGACCAATCGTCCCGGGCACGATCCAAACTGAAGACAGCTCCCTCTGTGCCACCATCCTCATCGTCCTCATCGAGTCGACTCGTTGTAGAGGATGCAATCCAGCTTTCGATTTCAGGAGCACCCATGCTTCACGAACACAACCTGGCCACGGATTGAAGGTCCCAACGACCAAAATTTTCAAGGTTCCCTCGCGCCGTATTGAGTCACCCAATCTCCGTGACGGCTGCGCTTCCGTGATTGATGCCAATTATTCCGAGTATTTAGTTTGTAAAATAAATGCTGTCCAAGGAAGAATCGAACACAAGTCTCTGCACGTCAAAATTTCTTAACTTGTTCGCTTATATAATCGTAAACCTTTCCACTCGTGTGGTCGTGTGCCTGTGCCCAAAACATCTTCGACTGAATCGACTCGTGCCGTGAATCATGCCACCAACGACTTGCCAAACGCCATTGACAACTATTCTCTTTATCGTTTGTTAGTTAGAGAACTGACTCCACCCCCACTGGAAGCTGCAATGAACTGCCCTGTGTTATGATGCTATCCTTGTGGAAGTTGCCCTCCAGACGTCACATCTCCTGTTCTGTCTGCATTGATCAAGGAAGGCATGTGTCGACCGCATGCGCCTAGATTACATATACGCGGCATTCACTATGCCACTTTTCCACACGTTATCGGTGATGATGGTTTCTTCGTTCGGTTCCTCATACTAATACAGGGTGTCAAGTTCCTTCATTTCCCCCTGCTTCGGTTGCGCCTTCTATCTCCTGCTGCGTCTTGACGCTCAGTTTAAAATATATCCATCATACTAGGTGGAGCTGCTGAAAAAGCTGAGGACTGAATCATCTCCCAAACTTCGGCGCTGGTATTCCTTCTTTGCGAAACCGACGAAGTCCTGGAGGCGCATTCAGGTCACACAGCTACCTGGATCCAGAAGACATTGTAGCCTTCTCTTCTAATAGGGATGCTTCCACATCAATCTCATTATAAGAAGTCGTCATCTTAGACTCATGGGACCTTTCAAATCGAAGCTACTAGATATTTTCTCCCAGTTCTGGTCTTTCCCCATTCCTGTAATGCTACCTAACATGGCCTGTCGTGCGAGTATAAGTACTCTAGGAACGCTCACTGATATGATGAAAGCGCCAGACTGTCGACAGATATGGTGATCCACAAAATTCGTCGTCAGCCTTCTCCTGCCCCGCAGCTCAGGACTCCTAGCCCGTCCGATTCGACTAATGCCAGTATAGGGGCTTCAGACATTGAAGTCGTTCCGCCTACTCCTGGTGACCACCATAAACCACTTGGATTTGGTATTGGCCTGGCCGATCCGTTGACGTCACAAAAGCGGCAGTATATGTTGCACATCGCTGATCGCCTAAGGTCTGTCGGGTAAGTACGATCACAGTGCATCCAGCTCATGTATACGATGCCCTCATGTATTTCGCACTAGTGCCAACGCGGACATTGAAATTCCACAGATTGCTGTGATTGGCTCACAGAGCGCAGGTGCGAGAGAAGCAGAGTCATCAACTGTACATTTGATATTAATTATCTCCTCGAAGGTAAATCATCTCTTCTCCAGCGCATCTCCGGTGTCGATTTTCCTAAATCAAGTGGAACATGTACTCGGTAAGCATACTACACAAACTAACGGCAAAGGTGAAAGTCTGTTCACACAATGATAGTGTACCTGCGGAAATCATCCTTCAAGAGGCAGCCGAGGGCGTGTGGGAATGTACTGTTTCCATCCGCTATATCCGCGATGCATCAGGACTCCTGCTCGGTAAACCGAAGATAGAAGAATTTGGACCGGTTATCACGAATCCGTCAGACGTCAAGGACCGCATGGCGCGAGCTCAGATCGCTAGTCTCAATCCTTCACGCTCTTGTACAGAATTTCTTGAAGGCCCACCCAATCCGAATTTCAAGTCTGAACTTTCATTCTCCGATAACTGCATTGTGGTGCAGATCCGAGGACCTAATGTTTCAAACCTTTCTTTATGCGATCTACCAGGTAAGTATTACTGACAGTCGCCTTGCATCTTACGATTTATAAGTGTACTGTGCCTTAGGTCTTATTGCTAGCGTTGCGAAGGGTGGAAAGGAGAGTGACATTGATATGATCGAAAAGCTCGTTACTTCATACATCAAGAATTCCAATTGTCTCATTCTTCTGACCGTCACTTGTGAAGGTGAGTATCTATTCCACATACGCCTCACTTTAGACCACGTATTAAACCCGAAAATCGAAGCGGACTTCGAGACGCAAGGCGCTCTTAGATTAGCATTAAAGCATGACCCGGATGGGACGAGAACATTAGGTTATTCTCGCCTGTATATCCTTATGAGTATTGCCCACTAATGAGCATTGGCAGGTGTGTTAACTAAACCCGACAGGATTGCAAATGGAGATGAAGATCGCTGGGTCAAGTTCGTCAAGTATGACGATGGGCCACTCGCCTTAGGCTGGTATTGCGTTAAGCAACCTGATTCTGTTCAGCTCGCCCAAGGCATCACACTTGCGGAAGCGCAAGACAAAGAGAACGAATTCTTCGAAGTTACCGAGCCTTGGTGTTCTCTTCCGTTCGACATAATGTCTCGCCTTGGTACGAAGCCACTGGTGGAAAACCTTAGCAAGACATTGGCAGATCTCATATCGAACCGGTGCGTCTTGTGCTCCTCGTGATGCTCTGGTTTTACTGAGCTTGCATATACATGTATTCAGACTTCCCGAACTTCGCGAGAGTGTGGAAAAAATGATTATACAAACTAAGGCAGCCTTGAAAGAGTTACCAATCCCGCCGTCCGAGGACGCTGTCGCAGAAGCAAGTATGCTCATCATGGAGTTCTCCAAAGAGGTTGACGTCAATGTCACCGGTTCAGCAAATTCAGACGGGCTCGTTCGGAAGATGAATTCTCAGCAAACCAAGTTGAAAGATGCGATCCTCCAAGAAGCCCCAGAATTTCTTCCATATACTAAGGATAATGGGTATCAGGTACTGCCTCCTATCACGTTTCTACAAAAGGACGGGAAAGGCCCGTTTTGTAATGGGATGACGGTGCATGTGGACGAAGTTGTGGCAATGATGGAACAGTGAGTGCCTATGTTAGACCTTACATATTTTAGTATATTTTCTCAGCAACGCTTAGGGCACGTGCGCGAGAGCTACCAGGGTACACTTCGTTCGACGTCCCAGCGAAGATCCTCAAAGAAACTATGGTCGAATGGCCTAAACTTGCAAATCAATACTACGAGAGAGTGTTCAGTACTCTGAATAAGAGTATTAAAGCCATCATGGATCGGCACTTTAAACGTTATGCCAACCTTCATAGTGCAGCGCGGTGTGTAACTTCTTACTAAAAAGTGCTCCTCCTTTAACAAGGCTATGCTTGCACACTCCAGATCAACTGTTCAGGAGCTGCTGAAGAGAATAGGCGACGAGACCGAACAGCAGATCGACAAACTTCTACAACGTGAAGAGGCACCATTCACGCTCAACTCATGTTATCTATCCCAGTACAAAGACGATTTCCTAGCATATTACAAGAACTGCAGACAGAAGGACCTGAACGGTATCGCGATGCAGCATATTCAGAATTATACACAACTAGAAACATCGAATCCGAGCCTTGCTGTCGTTCGGGTGGATGCAGTTAGTCAGATCTTGGCCGGGTTGAACACGATTAATATCCGGGACGTCAAGGCATCTGACTTGCCGAAACTGCATAAAGACCCGTTCGATCCCGCACTGGAGCTTATGGCTACCGTCAGCGCATACTATCAGGGTAAGTCGGTCTACCAATTCATCAACGTCAACCCCAAGCCTAAAACTACGCAAACATCGATTCAAGTCGCAGCAAAGCGATTCATCGATAGCGTCTCTCTAGCCGTCGACTACGAGCTTCTTCGCACCTTCGCGAGGGAGATTCATAGAGTACTATCTGCGATGTTGCATAGGGGTGATGCGAGGGAACGGTGTGCGGTGTATATGCAGGAGTCGATGGTTGTGAGGAAGAGGAGGTTAGAGTTGAGGAGTAGGCTCGAGAGGCTTGAGGCTGCTAGGCAGGAGTTGAATGAGTATAGTCCCTTGTGAATGAGGGATGTTGATCGGCCAAGACATGGAGGGTTGGGTGTGCTGTGGGGGGATTCGGGTTCCTTAATTTCGCCGAGAGAGGTTGGGTTCTTGATTTGCTTGTCTGTTCTTGCGAGTTCTTGTATCATTATGTGTAGACAAGTGAAGGTCTGATCTTTGAAGTGAAAGAGTAACGAGGAATTTTGCGCTTGCAGAATTATTTTGGCTTTAAGCTGGCTAGGATGTATGTACTATTATCGCCTTAACTACCTGTGTGACTTTTTAGCTTTCTTTCGTCAGTCGTTGTACACTTTACAAAGAGCCACTTATTAAAGAAATAGCCAAGAGTGGTATACAGCGAGTAAAGGTTGTATCGAAAGCCAGTCGGGCTAGAAAGGTGAGAAGAGTGTGAAAAGTAAATATCTGATTTGTATAGGGTGATGCAAATAGGCAAATAGGCGAATGTTGCTGGTTCTTCTGAAAGTGCAGCTGGACTCGTAAGATAGGCTTGAGAAACTAGGCAAGACTATAATAAAATTTGAGAATGAGTTCGAGTTCAGTCCTATTTGATTTGACGAGGTGGTTGCTTCTTTGCCAAGGTCGAAGCTTGAGACCAGGTTGTGGGTGGTTCCGGGTACCTTACACTTGCCGAGAGAGGTTGAGGTCTTGACTTGCTTGTCTATCCTTACAAGGTCTTGTATTATATGTAAATTACTGATAAGTGATAATCATCACAGCAAGCGACAGAGGATTGCACCCTTTCACCTGTACATAACTGCTTTTGTCATGAAAATGGTTATGACTGTACTAGGGTGCGACAAAGTCGGTCAGTCAGGATCGGGGTATTACTATGAAGCGGCCAAGAATGATATGCAGTGAGTACACAGCCGTGAATTCTCGTGCCGAGGGCCAAGTAAGCGCGAATGGACCGGGACGGAAGAGTTGTGGAAGCAATTGCGAGCCAAGTACCCCAAAATAGCAGTGCACTCCCACAGTATATGCTGTGCGCGCAAAGAAGCGGCGCCAAGGCGGTGGGTGCCCTTCTAAGAGCCTCATATGTCTGTCTCACCACTTTCCTCTCTCTCGCACCATCACCACGCTCAACATCATACAGTCCACCTCGAACGAACATGAGTAGTCTCTCTTCGTCGAGCTCCACACATAATGCGCATAGACGTACGACAGGACAAAGACATCGAGCACTCTTCAATGCGGCGTTCTCGGTGTTGGCAGTATCTGCTTTGCCCGTCGTAAGCGCCCAGCGAGATTGCTGGGTCGATAGGTAAGGACTTTGTTCATGAATTTATTCTCTCGGTATCGTTGCTCAGCAAAGCCGTATTCCGCGAATAGCTTTGGGAGAAGACATTGTAGATTGTCCTTGGGTGCACGAATTGCCATCGCAGTCGCCATCGGTACGTTCAACTCGCCACTCCATTGCTCACATCACACCTAATTCTCACACATCCAGTCGTTGCATTCCTCCTCCTCATCTTCGGTATCCTCCTCAGCCGTCGTCGTCGAATCCAGCGTGCGAACATGGCGTACGTTACAGCTCAACAACAGCAACAACAAACACCATACGGTAACAACACCGGGGGATACCAATACGGAGGGACACCCTACCAACAATACCAGCAGTACCCGCCACCAGAACAAGGATACTACGGCCAATACGGTGAGCAAGCTCCACAACATGGAGGCTATGCACCGGTGCGTATCTTTCGCCTATATGCGCGTCGAAATAATACTGAATTTTTATGTGTGCCTTTTCTCATGCCGTTGCTCCGCTCAATGATTCGATCATTGTTGTCATTTCACGCTTAAATCGAATCGACTTTATAACGTGCAGCCGCCTGGTCCGCCGCCAGTCGGTTCTCAGGAGCCGCCGAGCTACCCTGGGTATAACCCTCCGCGTAGTCCGCCGCAAGCCAAAGTATAATTTTAGGCGACGCACGATGACTTTGGACTTTTGATAGTGATTCTCATGTCGCGTGCTTCAAAATATTTCGTACTTTTCGATACGTTTCGTCTACCTGTCGGATTTATCTCTCTCCGATGTATTTGATCCGTTTACACACCGTCGTCTGTATTTGCCTGTACACGCAGAGGGACGTACTCCCTCCTCTCACTCATGCTATTGATCCTACTGGTTTACCTGTACTCTTTTTTTCGTGATTTATTTGTTTTATGTTTACTTTTATACTAGACAAGCATCCTAGCAACTAATTCACTCGTAACCGCATCTTCACAAACGATTCTAATCCCTTTCGTCTGCAACGCTCTCGCAATCAGCTGAAATCCTTTACCAAAACTACCATCCTCCACCTCCATCATCAACTCCCGCCATTCATCTCCATACAACTTCACTTCCTCCAACTTCGGAAACCGAGTCCCCTCACCTGTCAATGATTCTATGAGATCAGAAAGTTGAACCCACATCCATGTCCGACTGACTTGGTAATCGCAATCGGTTTCTACACTTGCGTTTAACCCCACCTGCCTCACTTTATACTCGATGTTCTCCTCTTGTGGTGAACCGAGGTGGTTTTTGGAAGGAGACATAGTCGTGAACACCGGGAACAGCAAATTCTCTACGTTAGGGCAGTATCCTAACCCGATTGAAATCGCGTCGATACGTAAGAACCTGGGATATCGTCCCAACTCGAGAGTGGTTATTTGTTTACCGTAGAGGGATAAGGAACCGGTATGGAGTGCGTAGAGCGCGAGAGGCCGGTCGAGGATGATTCGTGTGAGTGAGGGGAGGTGGATGGTGTGGAAGAAGGAGGAGTCTGGGTCGCCTAGGGCGTCGGCGGAGCGGATTCGGAGGGTGTGGAGGGACAGGAGGTTGATGAGGGGTTCTGCTGCTGAGGTTGAGGGGGTGCGAGTGTTCGAATTTGGATTTGTGTTTGCGATGTCGTTGTTGGGCAAGTTATTATCTGATCCCAGTGTAAGCACCTTCAACGTCTTCGACTGCCACAAAAACGGGAGATCAGGTCCAATAACAAACCCATCATCAGCAGGTCCTGCCGTTACATCATCTGCGGAAGTGTTATTCCAATCTATCCTACACAGCTGGGGAAACTTCAAACTCCTCAGCATCTCCACCTCTGCTGCTAGATTGTCTTCCTTTTTCTTAAGGTCGTCAGGTGTAAGGAGAGACCCGTCTAGATTGTTTACTGCGTTTGAGCTTGCTGGGGCTAGAGGTTGAGAGAGGACTTGGATGTTTGGACAGAGGGAGAGGATTTGCGATGATGTGCTTGAGAGAGCTTCGCTGAATGCGAGAGGGCATAAGTATACCCTCTTTACGTACTTACCCAACCCCGAATCTGACAAAACACTCAACAACCTAACCGACCCATGTCTCACCCAAACATCCTCATACAACAACTTCGTACACAGCTTCCTAAAGAGTTTACACGTGAGGAAGAGTAAGAGCTTGGTTTGGAGTGCTTTGGCGTCTTGCGTGTGTTGAGATTGGGCGTAGAGTTGTTCGAAGGGAGGGAGGGAGGTGAGGTGGGAGAGGTTGCGTGTTGAGTTGTATGTTGCTAGGTGGAAGATTTCTTCTAGGAGTTCATTGGGGAGGGAAGCTAGAGATGATGTTGATGCTTGAGGTCGGATGTTCGCATCCGACACTCTAGCAGTGTCATAGGTCTGAGAAGTAGGAGATAAAGATGTTTGAGATTGAGTGTCTGCATTTGCAACTACAGAGGCAGAAACAGTAGCAGGATTTTGGCTCAAGAAAGCAGGCATCCCAAGTTACTTGAGAGTACTAAAAGTAGAAAAAAATCACGTAGATTTGAAAGAACGGCAGTTGCTGTCGAGCTAGTCAAGTAGGAAGCTTTGAAGGAGGTCAGCACCCTGAGATTTTAATTTCCGACTACAAGATGTGTCGGCCTGAGCTTGTCAGTAAGATAATGTGAAGTCTATCCTCTGCAGCTGAGAGTGCAAGACATAGGGCGTACGCAACCCTCTGTCTTTCGTAAGTCAAATAAGAGGGAAGCTAGAGGGAAGGTGGCAGGACTGGATGGTAATGGGCGCAAGGAAAAAACTTGCCGGCTTGCAGTTGTGTCGCCTGCATAGTCGGTTGCCTAGATATGCGTGTCCCTACTTTGACTGGTGGAGGTGAGAAGAGATGAGGTTACCAGCTGCAGTAGTTTGCATTCCTGTCCCGGCAATGGCCGGCGCAATTATAACTCCGCCCGACGCAACCGTTGGACTCGACGCCTGCTGTTCCTGCTGTAACAGTACACACCAATGTGGAGGTCTTGCATTCACCATTCCATCCATTCGGTCGAGGTGAACTGGCTGGTGAATTCTTGTTGTCGTTGGTGCAAAGCACCTTCCTCTTTCAGGGGTTCATGGATACCAGTTACGCATCTCTGAAGGAGTTGGTCTTGGACACTTCTCCTTGCACTTCATGAAAAAAGGAATGCGAACATGAGACATGAAATTCAGCTGCATGCATCAATAGATATGCTCTGACACTATCAGCAGCGGGTACGTCTCTCTGTCTTTGCAGGAACCCTCGAACTACATTGCTCGGAGGTGCTTTGCATGAATTAATTGCGTATGTCAACTTCTGGACCACCCTAACGCTCGCCTTGCGATTCCTCACGAAGTTGCATCTGGTATGTACCGTGTCCTTGAATGATGGTTTCTCCATTAACTAATTTTTCTTTCTATTGGATTCATTTAGACTTCATGAGATGCTGGACACCTATAGGTGTATCCGAATCCTCCCCCTCCCTGCAGAACTCCTGCTATACATCTTCAAGCTCGCAACTGACAATGTCATAAGAGATATCGATCGGTTTGTCGACCTCCCACCCTTTGAGTCGATTGACTCTCAGGCCAAGGATGAACAATGCGACTTGGCACTCAAAACGAAGTGGTCGATCACACTTACGTGTTCTGCTTTCAGACGCTTATGTACCGACTTTCTGTATGAGGATATACGAGTGAGGCATGGCTCAGCTGGGCTTGCTGATGTGCTGGAGAGATCGGAAATGCTCGCACCAGGTGCCGGAGTAGGAAGAACGGTGAAGCGTGCAGTGTTATTCCCTTTGGAGCCAGAAGATGATTCCGCTCCTTGTGACCGGATTTCCAAGCACACTCGCCGAATATTGGCTTGTTGCCCTAATATCCGTGCCGTCTTCCGACCAAAAGTGCCACTGTCGGGACAGTGCTCAAGTGGAGATGCAGACAGTGACGATACTGTGAACGTTCCGCTAGAGTTCCCATCTTTGCAGCGCGTGGACTGGTCAAGTTGTCCTTCAGATGATCCACCCACACTCTCTCAGCTTCCTTGTTCTATCTGGAGTTCCGAATCGTTGAAGACACTATCCGTCGGTGTAAAGGAGTGGTCTCGCTTCACGGGCATGCAAGGAACGGAAGTCACCAATATATTCTCTGGGATACATACTCTCCGTGTCCGTTCTCTCGATGCATTTGGCACACCTGGTCAACGACTCTTCTCACTTGAGCTTCCGTCTCTGCATCGTCTCGTCCTCGAACAGCCGGACTCGATGTATGCTCTCTTCAGCGTAGTGCAGTATGGAGATCAAATAACTACTTTGGAGTTCGGGTTGCATAAGGGATTCCTCGAACATGACTATATCATGGTTCTCCTGGTCTATTGTCCAAATACCACGGACTTATACTTCCCGATCTTCACAACCTCCGTCACACGCCGAAACTCAAGAGGTATGTCCTTTACGCACTCCATCAAGCGCATCGTGTTGCATGCGGCGGTCGAGGAAGGATCTGAAGTTGATGAAGAACAGAAATGGGACCACCTTACGTCGCAATTTGAATCTATTTGTGGAGAGCATTCGAGGTTCATGAAACTCGAGCGGATAACGTTGTATGGTGGTGAGTGGCGAGGGCTCGTAGGCGATCCTAGGATGACGCCCTCTTTGCATTTGATTCGTTCTAGAGGAGTTAGGTTAGATTGTGAGGATGAAGAGGCTATGATGATTTTGGAATGCCGTAACCGTAACGCTTCTCTCACACCATGTGGTGACACTCCAATACTAATACCTGTCATTCAATAGTTTACTACTGATACACACTGTCTTCCTTTCCTTTCTCTTCTATCCTTTTAATATCTGCTCAGGCATTTATGATTTATGATTTAGAATATTGATTTAGTCTGGGTACTCCACACCCCACAACCCCACACAACTTCATTGGTGGCGTATGCTGCAATGATTGGTAACTTTGTTTTATTTTTACGTTATTAAACCTATTCCGTCGAGAGCTTTGCTCGTTCTATCAGTTGCTTGGATATTCTCCCATGCAAAGTTATCAGAGCCCAGCCCTTCGTTGAGGTAGTACTTAATAGCCCCATCAACTCCCCATCGCAGTGTGTTTTTATTTCCGTTATTGATACTACAGGATGTCAGGTACGTCGCAAGAGAAAGAAGTGAAGGAACCCGAAGCTGAGGGTGGTGCCACGGATTCTACTATATCCAGGCTGTCTTCAAATGTTGTCTTCGACGGGAGAAGCCTAGCCATCAGCCAAACAAGCCATATCCTGGTCGGTGCTTCTGAAGAAATCAGATACGAAAAGTTGGATAAAGTGGGGACTGGGTTCCTGGCTGACGTTTATGTGCGTCCTTGGTCTTCGTGTAACTTATCACCCAAATTGAACTCGTATTCCTCAAGGTATACAGAAAAATTGTCAACGGCGTACCTCGAGGGAAGGTAGCCGTAAAGCAAGACAGGCAAGAGTGGGTTAACCGCTCGGCACAAGAATACGAACGGATGATGCTCGACGACTTAAAGCTGAGATTGAACGAATCTGCTTTTGAGTATATCGTAAGTCATTTTCTCGACATTTACTATATAATCATACGAGGAAGAGGACTTATTCATACTCATATTGCATTTGACTCTCTTGGGTAATAGTCAAGATTCTATGGAAAGGAAACTATAGATAACGTCCCAAGTCTAATATTCGAGTACCTTGAAGGAGGGGACGTTCAGGAGTATGTGGTCAATCAACCACCTAGCGAAGAGAAGGAAAAGAAAGTGGTAGGGTGGATAAGGTCAGTGTATCCTTATTTTCTTAGAATCAATCTCGATAAGCAATACTTACACTATGTTTGATGTTTTTAGAGATATGTTAGTCGCGCTCGTCTTCATTCACTCGGTGGACATTGTCCATAGAGACGTTAAGTAAGTGAGAGTTACTATACTTGAATTGAAAGAACGACTTACTCTAAACTATCTGACTTCACTAGACCAGCCAATTTTATTCGAGTAGATAAAGAAGGAAGTCGAGTGAAACTCATCGACTTCGGATCGTAAGTCCAAGTTCTCCATAGAGAACAAAAGTACAAAAGAAATTGATTTTAGCATTTAAATTTGCTGATACCTATATGTTATGTTAATAGAGCTGGGCATTTAGAAGGACGAGAACGGACGACAATCTCCCGTGGAACATTTGAATATCGTAGTCCTGAGGGTCACCTTGATAATAAAATCAATGAAAAAGCTGACATCTTTGCAATCGGGTGGGTTTATTTCATTTATCTGTTCTAATTTCAATTATGGAGCTTACCATCCTAAACCATAATTCCCGTGTAGATTATCAACGTACGAGATGCTGACTGGAAGACAGGCTTTTCCACGCCGTCCTGGAGAGGCAGTGCGAGACGTAAAAATTCTGGACAGAATAAAGAACGAAGAACCGGTGTATGATCCTGAAATAATCAACAATTACTCACGAGAAGGTTAATAATTTTCTTGTTTGTATGCGATGGCAAATCGACTGACATCATTCATCTCGCTAGCTTTCCATTTCATAAAAAAGTTGCTAGTGAAAAACCCTGCACAGAGGCCTGACGCACTGATGGCCCTTGACAATGATGTGAGTCCTTGTACACACTACAAACTTACGAGGCCTAGTGTTATTGAGCATTTTTAGTGGTTTGCGAAGTTCGACCTTGACTTGGTGGTCCAACCGGGTAACTGTTGGTGGGTGAGCGATGAGTGGAACTTGTGGAAGGCGGCGAAAGAGACCATGAAAAAGGGTGTTAATCCGACATCTAAATGATCGAAACTCTTCCTAACGGCTACGGTGGGCACCGGAGAGCGAGTTCGAGCAGTCGTAAATATGGTCAATCAGGTGGTTGTCTGTATCTTTCATGTGATTAAGTACCAAAGTGTCTCCGAGTCATTGAATACATGACTGTTCAAAAGTATTCACCCCGTTTTGCCTTATGATTTATGCGAATTACAGTTGAAAATGTCTTATTGCATAACGTCGGGAGAGGGCTAAACCCAATGCATTATACAATTTATGCATTATGACAATACATTTTGGCTGAGGACCTGAGTTTTGGTCTGGCCAAAAGTCTATACATTATGCCATTTATGCATTACAATGTAATGCAATAAGACATTTTCAACTGTACATAGAAAGCAGGTAAACGGTAACCATCTACTTATCATGCTTCGTGTATAACAGTACACAACTTCCAGTCCTGAAACTCCTGATGCATACAAGAAAAGCCAGATGTTGTATGTTTCGCATGTATTTTTGTTTGTGTTCTTTTCCAACGTTGTGATCGATACATCGATCTTTCTGAAATGGGGTGCTCCAAAGATCAATCACGTTCAACAATGATCGTACGAGCCTCGCCATCTTCATCTCTTCGATACATGGCAGACACTCCACACACAATGTGATTATACTTGCGTCATATAGCAAAACATATTTGAAATGGGTCTTATGTTCTGCACTATATCTACCGATCTTCTGATGATTTATTTATTTGGATCTTTCTACGTGATGTGTTACTGAATTCGTTCTCTAGGATCAATCGATTCTTTTGTTCTATTTCCATAGAGATCCTGAAACTTTATTGTGCTCTCCAAATTGCAATAGACAGAAGTACTTCTAATGATTGATCACCCAAGTCCACTTATGAGTGTGCGTTATATTTGTCGACTGTAGTTTACCAGATAGGGCGGAAACTTCTTAGAAATGATGGATTCTTTGTTGCAGATGACGTCTATACATCAACTCCGGCATAAGTATGAAAGCCGATGTCCTTATAACCTTGTGAGTGAGACCAGCTCGCACAAAGACCATTCTCGACCAGTCGCCTACTCATATGGATGCTATCTTGACTTCTGCCCATTCAATAACACTCTTTAAGTCAATTACAAGTTAGCCAGTACCATGTCACCTTGTGCTTCATGTTACTGAAATGGTCCGATTTCTGGGATTCAGTTTCGTACACTACTTTCCACTTATATTATACTAGTGAGTTGCATTAGTACCCTTTTGCAAATTTGTCTGGCTCATGTCCACAGTCTCACACCTAGATGAAGAGGTCTGTTCAATTAGTTATGTTAGTCCATTTGATCTAATACTTAATAAATTAGGTTGACTACATATGGGTGAGGAAATAGTATATCAAGTGATAGTCGTGGATTTAATTCCTTGCAGACCAAGCGTTGGACAGTTGGGAAAGCAGCTTATCTGCTGGTACGTCTTCTCTGTATTCAGTTAAAAAATCGTGTTAGTGGTCTTACATTGAAGAATAGACAAGATATTTTGGTGCTGGTTATTTGATGTGTGTTGTAGAGCCTGGAGACGAACTCTTTGTTGACGTGATACATTGCAGCTTAGTCTCAATGAGTACAATCCACCTTGGTTGGGATAGCAGTCCTGTTCAGGCAATTGCTATGCAGGTAAAACGACATTTCTCCTTTTCTGCATGAATCTAATACTTTTCCAGGAACAAGGCATTGCAGGATTCTTCTTGCCTTCTTGTGAGTGAAGCTAAACTACGAATGAGTTTCGATTGCAATAAATCTAACGGATTTTCTCTAGGTTTGTACGGCCAAATACAGTCTGGATTAGGACCAATGATTCTCACATTAGCCAAAGGTGATATCCCTATCCTTGACTTTTTCGCAACAATGCAAGTTTATATTGCTTCCTTTCCAACAGTCATACTCATGATGCGTGTATACGCACTGTATGAGGGAGCAAAGAAAATGCTAGTTGCATTTGTTATATTGACACTACTCCTCTTCGGATTCGATCTTTACCAATTTTTATTTTTCCTCGGTAAGGGCATTATTTTTAATTTTTTGCTCACTGATTTATTGTCTGTGAAAATTTCCACTCAAGGTGTTGTGAAAATTGGATCAGAACCTGGTAATTTCGCTTGGGCAAAAGTTGATGGTGGATGTTTAGCCGCGCCTTCCTCGGCTGGCATTGCATGGACAGTGACTTCTTCTGTCGAGCTTGTTCTGTTCCTTCTGGTGCTATGGAAGATTGTGAAAGCAAAAATGGCAAAGCGTGCAAGTTTCGTTTTGGGAGATGGCCGACCAAGCACTCAGGATATGACTGCATTAATGGCGAGAGACTCCATTTCGTATTTTGCCATGTACGTACTTTGGGTCTATTCTCTTACGTCAATTAGTAATTGATTAGAGTCTAAGAATATTCTCAATATGTCTCGTCGGTGCCATTTCAGAGTTTCTAACGAATCGTCACATCATTAAAGTAAGTTAAGTCTTGGTTTATCATTGAGTAACTTACAAATCTTCTCTCAGGATCAAAATCTATTACTTTTCCTCAGCTATATCCTGCATGCGTACCTACCTTTCGTGATTACGATCATGACGATCCTCACTACAAAGATGCTCATTAACCTTCGAGCAGAATATTATGGCCCGAGCAGAATACTTGCAACTGAACTCTCTTGGGATGTAGATAGTTCAGAAAACTATAGTCTACAATTTGCTAGCCGTGAGATGTAAATAGTGTCCGTATTCAATTATTGACAATCTCATGTGTTTAATCATGAACTGTAGTAGCTAAAAATATGTATAAGATATAGAACAGGGTTTTGTATAATCCAGATATTTTGATTCCATTTGCAACTTGTGAAGTGGCAATTTATGGAAACAGAATGAAGTATGTTACAATATTGTATATACTGTACCAGTGAGCTAATGGTAGTGCATAATGGTGGAGATGATAGGTTAATGTGTGAGTTCTGGCTAAAGGATTGAATAAAATCAATGACTAGAGTACATATAGTCAGGTCTTGCAGTGCTTACAGCCTTTTCTTCCTTTTCTATTTCTATTTCTTTTTCTTTTTCTTTTTCTTTTTCTTCTTTCAACACTTAGCAACACGGGCAGCGTTCTGCTTTCCAATCTTTGCTACATTGCAAAAAAGTCCAGAGGCTTATATCAGAATGTAATGATGTAAAATATGTAAAAAAAGTAAAAAAAGAGTGAAATAATATATAACTAGCCTCAAGTTTTAATAAAGTACTAAAACTTTGTATAAGATATTGTAAGGATTATTATTATTGCAAAAGTATATAAGGATAATGCTCCTTCAAAACATATGAAATGGATTATTTCTAACCTCCCCTTTTAAAAGGTATAATAAGGATTACAGTATATTAAAAAGATAATATATGTTTCTAAAAATGTCTTACAGCCCATACAAAGTTATTTCTTAATAACAATTATTTTCCCTTACATCCGTTTGTTATTAAAAACAAAAATCAATTATATTAATGTATTCTAAATAATACATTGTAATCTACAATAATCAAGGAAAATAATCCGAGAATGCATACACAGTAATGGTGGTGCACCCAATGCACTGGTTGACCAACGGTTCTCTGGGAGGACAAAGCTGAGAGGACCTCCTGGTACAAGACCCTGTGCAGAGAGCGAGTGAGAGTGTCCGCGTCCGCCGTGATGCAATACGAGTAGGCAGAGGTTGTGATCGGATCAGACTTGGGCGGGAAACGAGTGCATTGTGGGAGTTGATTGCATAGGCAACGGATCCGGACAAGAGTTCGATACGCTGTCCGCCCAGCGAAACCAGTCCATAACTGGAAGCGCTGCTGATGGCAGATCATCCGTTAACCCAAAACTCTGATAATCACAAAAATGCAGCTTTGTCCTTGTGGATAGCAACATTCAATGGATGGTTGTCTGTGTCGGCCTTCGGGTGATGTTTAGTTTGATTTTGTAGATTTACATGGGATAGTGTAAAGTAGATGCCCGTAATGAGCACAGACCTCCATTTGCTCCGTCCGCTTACGGCTTCTTAACTTTGTCAACTCCCGCAGCGCCTATCTTATTTCAAATCAAACCTTTTGACGGGCGCACTTCATCAGGAAGATAAGAGGGCATCATCTCTGGTGAATGGAGAGCTATCTCACTGTCAATGCTCTAAGTCGTACAGTTGTCAGGCTTCAGAAAGCGTCTTAAAAGACGGTCATAGAACGACGGAAACATTGATTCCGTGCAGGACCAGAGTAGACACGTCGATCAAGATCAGCGAGTCGCGTCGCAGTGGTAATTCAATAGTCGTGCGAACTACTTCCCCAATATATACAACTTACTCGTGCAAAAGTTCTTTCTTGGCTTAATGACTTGGTGTGAGATGCGGTATGTGTAGTTATGAGGAATAGTTTGAATACATTATGCAACGAAGCAACAACATAACAAGCAGCAGAATACAACACGTGTATGTAATACATAGGAGTAACGATAGAATGTAGTAAAGCACGGAAAGGAGCATCTTAAAGCAAACGTAGAACATTACAGAAATAGGACAGGGTGGAGCGCGCTGAGATACGTAATACATAACGCGAGTGCGACAAAACGGAACAATAATAGCGTAAGGCGAAGTGAAGGCGAGAGACAGCGAGTGGGAGGAAGAAGGAAAAGAGGGGTCCAGCCCCCGAGGACCTAAGGCGCCGTTCGCTCGTTAAGTACACCGTACGCATATTGATTAAAATTATAGTTCGCGCCCCGCCGCCCGTAGGGAGTGGTCAATGATATCGCCACTGTCCAGTCGCAATGCCAGCACGAGAGTTGATACACTCTAAGTATGGGAAGACGGTGCCATTAGCGTAGAGTTCGAAAGACAAAAGAAGGACAGACTTTGAGCCAGCTGAACAACCTTTGACTAAGTATGCTCGCCTCACTGAGATCAGCATATTGAGCGCTCAAATAAGCACGGAAAACTAGGGAACATTAGTGTAACAAAATAGAGAGAGAGAGAAAATGGCGAAACCAACGGGGAGGAGTGGAAGATAGAAAGTCAGACTTAATCAGCAATTTCTCCCCCACTCCACCCCACCCCTCACACAAGCAACGAACTGCGACAAAGCGGCTCTGTCAAACAGCCGTTACGTTATGCGAGTGGGCCCCAACCCTTTGGCAAGGGTGGAGTGGGCACGGGAGCCACCCGTGCAGTTGACATACGTGTGTATGCAACCTTTTAATGGGACCCATTTTTGCGCGAGTGGGGATGCCGTCGACAAAGAGGGGTGCCAGCCCCTCCTCGACGATCGCATCCGCTACTCGTCCCGGGGACGCAACCGACAAGAACGGGGAGCCAGCCCCTCCTCGACGATCACACCCGCCGCCCATCCCAGCAGAGACGGCCAACAAAGAAGGCGGCCAGGCCCTGTTCGAAGGTTGCGTCCAGCCGCTCGTCCCGGGTACACAATCTACAAGAAGGGAGGCCAGCCCCTCCTCAACGATCGCTTCCAGACGCTCGCACCTGTAAAGAAAGAAGAAGAAAAAAGAGGAGAAGGCCTCGAGCCTCTCCTCGACGATCGGTTCCCGCCGCTCGTCCCTGTCTGAAACGACCGATAAAATGGCATCTAGCCCTATCTCGACAATCACGGCCCGATGCTCGACTACATGATCTAAAAAAGAGGGAATCCAATGCCCCTACAGGATAGCATCCTGCCAAAATTGTTTGATCAGTGTCAATACTCGGGAGTCACTCGATGACAAGGAACGCTTATTACCTCTTTGCTGTCGCATCCTGCCAACATCCTCCAGCTTGCATTGGTCCGGGTAAGATGACTTTCTAAGCTCCCCCTCAACAATTCTGCTACACCTATAGACGGAGTTAGGATGGATATGAGACAACGAGATGAAAAGGAAATCAGACAAACCTTAACCTCAGCCCGCTCGCGTACGTCCTGTGGTCCTCCTTATGACCCGATGACTCTAAGCTCTAGCATGGCGTAAGAAGGCAGTCTTTCTCTTCAGCCAGCCCAGGAACGAGTTCGACCGAGCCGGTTCGGCCGAACGTCCTCTTCCGACGTTGCGGGAATGCGTTGTACCCATCGAATGGGGAGATGGGTTTGACATCTGCGGGACATTGATTATCCCGAGGCCAACACGCTGTGGTACTTGGCCATTTGCGGGCCACCACCGATCGCAACCAGGACTAGCCTTGTTGCTGGGACGTTTGTTGTTGGGACATCTGGCTGCCTCTGCGAGTTCCGCGACGGGAACGGGCAGACGTCGAAGCGCGGGACGTCGTGATCTCGTTTCCCTCCCTTTCCTAGACGGTTCATTGCTCGCCACTGCGAAAGGCGGACTCGCCACTGTAATCGTGTTCGCATACATTTCGTCGAGCTGCGGGACGTTGAAAAGGCCAAGTCCGAATAAACCACGCGCTCTGAATTGGACCGCCCTGTTACATGCTGGTGAGAACGTAGGCAGGTCCGGTGTCTCTATATATTCAATGTCGACAACCTCGAAACCTGAGGACAGCGCAGGAGAGGCGGCAGTGCCAGCCGCCGCCGGCCGGCGAAGTTGTTTGAACACGTAGGTCGAATAAGACGGACTCTCGTAGCCCCCGTTCGGGTGCGTTGACGCGTTTCCGCCTGAGTGAGGGTGCCTCGACTGATTTGGCAGGGTACCCGTGGGGTGCTGGGCTAGCCAGGGTAGATACATCTCCCAGCCGGTGGGAGCATTAAAGGACGAGTGCCTGCACTCGTCAGCCTTGGTCATGGTGGGCTGTGGACATGAGGACACGCCCGCGTGTCCGCTTTCACTCTAGGAAGTGTATTAGTATAAGCTGCTTTAGTATGAGAAATAAAGAGTAGAGTACGAACGAAAGAGTTCGGAGTAGACATTGTAAGTGAAGGTGAGGATATTGGCAGATAACGGTTCGAAGTCAAGATGGGAAAAGCTGAATGGCCAGAAACGCGAAGTTTATATATGGTCTGTCCAGGGCTGACACATTAGACCAGAGTGCAACTTGAATTCTCAAACATAGCAGACAGAGACAATCGTATCAAGTCCCGCTAGCTTTGACGCAAAAACTGGAACAACAACAGTCATGTCGGAAATGTGAAACACCGAAAAATATCGATGAAAGTATGTGATTTGAGACTACCAGTACCAGAATGTACGGACTCCTTGACGAGAAAGAAACCTGATATTCTCTTATTTCGAAAGTTTGATCTTGTAGAGACACTTTAACTACTCAAGCGTAAATCCCAGACAATGCAGCAGAAAGCGACGTGAAACGTATGCTATGGTGAAGGTGAGTGTCGAAGGAAGGAAAGCTTGTAAGACCAAATTAGTAATACCCACCACTCGTTGCTGGCAGGCAGAACCTCGACAGAAAAGGAATATATGGTACTTTCCTATTTCGGAAGTAATCAGAGTGTAATCACGTGACTTAAGAGATGTTACTTTGCTTGTCATATTGGTGAGGCACAACTACGTTACTTTGCTTGTAGCTGGGCTACTTTGCACCGTGCCCACGACCAAGCATCCAATGCCGTCTGCGACTTTGACCTCTGGGATGATTCTCAATGGCTCGACTTCTTGATTTACCTTCCGAGTTGCTCGTCACGATATTTGAACTAGCGACGGACAATCCGACTAGGAACATCGATGAATTCGCATCTCTGCCTCGCTTCGAACCGATCTATAGGGAAGGTGCTGCTGAGTTATGCAAGAGTGCTTTTCGTACCAAGTCTTCTTTAACTTTGGTCTGCAAGACGTTTAGGCGACTTACTCTGAGGCTGCTCTATGAGTACATCTGGATTCGGCATGGGTGTACGTACCTTCTGGAGGCTCTTGAGTTATCAAAGAAGACGTCTCGCCCTGGCTCGGACCTAGGAAGCTACGTGAAGCGCGTCTCAATATCCATACCAGCTCGTGGAGAATCAGAAACACACCAGTCGTGGGACCCGATATTCGAGGCCGCACGTAGTATATTATCTCTCTGTCCTGATGTCTGTGCCATCTCACGTCCACACGAGATACTTCCAGGAGAGAGACAAGAAGACGGAGAGGTGGAATTACACAGTCCCTCAAATCCAATCGACGACCTTGACTTTCCCCACCTACACCGCGTAGATTGGTACAACACCCACTCCGACCTCCCTTTCGCAAGTATACCCTCTCCAAGGTTCATCTGGAACTCTAACTCGCTACGCGTACTAATCGTAGGAGCAGACAATTTCCCAAGTCGACCCGACGACGGGCAGGACCAAGAAATCGTAATCAGCCTACCAAATTTACACACCCTCGGAATCCGGTCGTTCAACACGTTCGGATACGAAGGTCGTCCTTGTACACTTCACCTTCCCTCCCTCCGTCGACTCATCATCGGCAGACCAGAGGCGATATACAACTTCTATTCGGGTTGCTTGGCGCCCTTCGGTTCCCAAATAACAGAAATCGAGTTAGAACCGGATGTACGGTTCTTGAGACATGATTTCGTTACGACGCTTTTGTGTTATTGTCCAAATGTGAGGGATTTGTGTATCCCGATTGGGACTACGAGACCTGTGAACCGGACTGAGATACCGAGGGTGGTGACGAGTTTTGTTGTTGAGAGGGTTTGGTTGCATGCTGCGTTTCCTGGATCTCCTAAACCTGGAACTGGGACTGGAATTGGGATTGGGATTGGAATTGGAACTGGATCTGGTAGGATCGTTTATGATTATAAGGACGTACCTTGGTGGACTTTACTTAGAGAGCATTTTGAGTGCTTTTGTGGGACGAGTTCGAGGTTTACGAAGTTGGAGCGAATCATGCTTTGTGGAGAGGAGTGGAGGGAGACTGTTGAAGATGAGCGGTTTGCTGAGTTGGTGCGGCTTACACGAGTCAAGGGAGTGAATGTTGAATGTGAAGACAAGAAGTTGCAAGATAAGATTACGAAACTGGTTGAGGTAACTTTGCAAGAGAACTTATGAAGACGATCTCGGAACGCTGTTTTCTCTGACTGGCTGGCTTTCCAAAGGTTTTGTGAAAGAAACTAGGAATTTACAGGGAAAGGATATCAATCTTGTCGAAACCCTTTCAAAACAAAAGCTGGTCAAGAACTCTCTACTTCTCGGGGAAAAGAGATACACATATTGAATTGCTTGGCCTACTTGCATCAACAAAGCACTGCTGTCAGAAAACTAAATGAAAAGACATAGTTTGTCTCTTCTAACTTTCCACGTCGCGTAACTGCACTGTCTTTATCTTTATCCGCATGATTTTAGCAGCACTTGTATAATTGTGCAATGTACATACACACTCAACGTTAATAACATAATATAATACAAAATTAACTTATACTTAACCTTGACCCCTGCTAGACAAGCCATTCTTTGAATCTTAACCCAACTTGGCATAATCAAATGACCTGGAAAGGGTGAAGATTCAGAAGAGAAAGTACGGATCAACGGACCCTCGTTGACCGTCGAAGAGGAGAGGAGAGGTTTGCAGTCGCTCTCGGCACCTTGGCTAATTGAATATCAACAATCCGGAAATTAATAGATTTTCACTTTCCGCTCCTGGCAGGTCTGATACGAATTGACTCCAAGCGACTCATCCAGCTTGGGTCATGCAAGTCGAGAAACAAGTAATATTAATGGAGAAGATATGTGTGGCAAGGTAAGGTTCATGAGCAGTTCTCAAAGGAGGTCAACCGAGTCTAAAAGGAATAAGAATATCTAAGTTTTAAAAAAGTAAAATACTTTTCGAGTTAATGGAGAGCGAGCGGCCTTATAGCGCCTCGTGAAGTTCGGTTGCGTTCTCCCGCCTCCGAGCACTACTACTGCCTGGTGGGACGTTGTTTTCTGCCATTTTCGCTGGGCAAAATGGAGGCAAACGACCAGCGAGCTAGGACTGATTCGGTGCGGATAGGATACTACTTAGGCGGGGATGATGACCCCGCGCGGCGCTGGACCTCGCGTGTTTGAGTATTCTTTATGGAATTCAGTCCGGCATGTATTAAGGAGCACAGCGTGTGTGTCTGTGTGCCCCCGCCAACCACCACCGCCATGTCAACGACGTACACAAACCCCTTCGCCAGCAACAGCGAAGCCCGCCTCGGCAACGCAGCCGCCACTCCTCTCCCGGGCGGCGATGACTCCCGCTCACTCCTCGATGCCGACTACAATGCCGCCTTACAGCCACCCAATCCAAATCGTTTTTCCGCACACCAGTCGTCTATCGGTATGGACTCTCCCCGCGACTCGGTCGTCTCAGACGACGTCGGCTCTGCGCGTGCCATGGCTGCTGCACCTGTGGGAATCGCCGGTGCAGCTGCCACCGCCGGTTCGGTCGAGACGGACCCTTTGTCGGGCGGTTCGAAGGAAGGTGGTCGATCGTTACCCGGAGGCGGAGGACCCACGACTCGGGGCGGTAACAACCGCCGACGCTTAATATGGCTCGCGGCCGCCGTGGGTTTCCTCGTCGTCGCAGCGGCTGTTGCCCTCCCCGTGGGGCTCATCGTCGGCCGTCGGGATAATAATAAGAACAAGTCGGATTCCGGCTCTGGGTCCGATTTGAACCCTGGAGGCACTGACAACCCGCCGAACGTGGCGGTCATTAGTGGCGGAGATGGGTCGACGGTGACGACTGAGGATGGTTCGACGTTCACGTATGTTAATAAATTCGGGGGCTTCTGGGTGGACGATCCAAAGGTACGACTTCTCCCGCACATTACATTACAGCGTTCTCATAAGTTAATCTACGTTACAGGACCCGTTCAACAATAATGCACAACCGAATTCGTGGACGCCGCCACTCAATACCTCTTGGCGATGGGGCATCGACAGAGTCTACGGCGTCAACCTCGGCGGTCTCTTCGTCCTCGAACCATTCATTGTACCTTCACTCTTTCAAAAATACCAAAATGGTCCCACAGCCGTCGTAGATGAATGGACACTTTCTCAAGCAATGGCTGCAGACACCTCTCCAGGTGGCGGTCTCAGCCAAATAGAAGACCATTACAACACGTTCATTACTGAAGAAGATATCGCTCAAATCGCGGGTGCCGGATTAAATTGGATTCGCCTACCTATCCCCTTCTGGGCTGTTGATAAATGGGACACCCCGAATGACCAGGAGCCGTTCCTTGCACGTACTTGCTGGAAGTATATCTTGCGTGTTTTTCGATGGTGTCGTAAGTATGGCTTGCGTATCAACTTGGACTTGCATACTGCACCAGGATCGCAAAATGGTTACAACCACTCTGGAAGTCAGTTATCATTTTATTCATTCCTTTAAGTGGAGGCGGCTTGCTAATGGGCGGGATATCATTTCCTTTGTGTAGAAAATGGCCAGATCGACTTCCTGGCCGGAGTTATGGGCTACGCCAACGCTCAACGAATGCTCGGCTACATCCGCATCATCACCGAGTTCATCTCACAACCCGAATACGAGGACCTCATCCCCATGTTCGGTATCATCAACGAGCCTCGAACTCAACTTATTGGGGACGACGTAATGTCTCATTGTATGCGTCCTTTTCTTTCTTTTTCTTCTTCCGTGTTCTATCCATGCAGCATATCTGATGAATTGGGTGTAGTCTACCTCCAAGCATACGACATAATGCGTGGAATTACGGGTATCGGTGAAGGCAAAGGACCCTTCATGAGTATTCATGATGGGTTTGAGGGTCCTGCGAAGTGGGCTGGGTTCTTGCCTGGTTCAGATCGTATTGCTATGGATTGGCATCCGTATTTCGGTGAGGATCCTATTAATTAGAAACATACGCAAAACGCATGGTGACCTGACGACCGGACGACCCTCTCACAGCGTTCAACGGCCAGCCGAACTTGGATCCTATCGGAGTGTGGCCTGCACGCGCATGTAGCTGGGGAGATACGCTGAATACCAGGTACGTGTTTCCGCTTTTGTACCGCCGTAACCTCCGAACGATCTACTAAGTACGACCTCCCATTTCCTTACGTATACAGCCAAACTGCATTCGGGGTCACCATGGCCGGTGAAATGAGTAACGCGATCAACGATTGCGGGCTCTACGTTAACGGCGTACCCGGTACGGGACACAGTTACGGTGGTGATTGTAGTTTCTGGGAGGATTCGAGTCAGTGGAACCAGACGATTAAGGATGGGTTGCATGAGTTTGCTCTTGCGAGTTTTGATGCGTTGCAGGATTGGTTTTTTTGGACTTGGAAGGTAAGCAAAAAACATGGTTCCTAAAACTATACGAAATACAGAATTTGACTTGCTCATTTATCTCATCGCCGTCGAACAAATAATTAAATGGATGTGTAGATTGGAAACTCCTCGCTAACAAACACAGTCCAATCCCCTCTCTGGTCCTACAAAGCCGGTCTCGAAGGCGGCTGGATGCCAACAGACCCTCGCTCCGCCGTAGGCGTATGCGCCTCACTCGGCGTAACAGGTGCTCAATTCCCCGGGACGTACTCCGCCTGGCAAACAGGTGGTTCCGGTGCAGGTACTATTGATCCCGTTGCGAGTTCACAGTTTGCTGCTTGGCCTCCGCCGACGATGAGTGGAGTGGATGCGGTGAATATGCCGTTTGTTCCTACGTATACTGCTACGGGAACTGTGAGTACGTTACCGCCGGATACGTTTACTGATGCGCCGAAGACTGTGAGTGTTGGGGATGGGTGGGCGAATAGTGGGGATACGAGTGGGGGTGTTACGGAGGTTGGGGGGTGTACTTAGTACGTGGACTTTGCTTTGCTTTTCGTATATTGTTGAGGGGATGATGCTAACTGGTGGATTGTGTAGCCCGAACCCGTGGGACTCGGCTCAGCAGACTATGCCTACGACGACGTGTACTGGTGCAGCGGGCGGTGCGAGGTTGGCACGGCGTACGCCACCTCCGACTCTATGACCCTCCATCTACACAACTGTATGACTGTATGACCTTGGGACGACGGAAGAGGGTGGGGGTAGAAAGAGGTAGAGATGGAGGGTGTGAGATGCAGACGACTCGGCATCTGGACTCTCAACTCTCGACTCTCCCTTCTGGTCGCTCATTTGTCCGTCTATCCATTTGTCCACTCGACTCGCATTCTCTTTTCCCCCGAGCGTTTTGACATTGGCTTTTTTTTTCTCTTTTTTTTTGATGGAGTCGGGGAGCTCGGAGTCGGTGGTTTGGTATCTCCTAATCTCCTAATCTCCTGTTCTCCTGTTCTCCTAATCTCATATTCCTTGTTCGTTTCTGAGGGGTATACTCTCTTTTCTTTTTTCTTTCCCCCTTTTTTTCATTTGGCTCCCATACCCATTTCTTGACTTCCTTGATTTTTCTCTGTTTTTAATTCTTGGATATATAATATATACACCGACTGACTATACTCGGACTTTCTTTCGATCGCACTTGAACACCCGATCGACCCACCCCACTCGGCCACTGTATCACTCAATCACCCACTCTCTCCTCCTCATCCTCAACCCTCATTCCTGACCCTTGCCTCGTAGTAGTCATCTTGTTACTATTTACTACCTACTATCTACTGTTTACTATCTACTGTTTACTATTTGTTGTTGTTTGCTGTGATGCTCAACGTTTAGCTATATCCTTTTATCCTTTATCCTTTATCCTTTATCCTTTATCCTTTATCCTTTATCCTTTACCCTTTATCCTTTATCCTTTTATCCCTTATCTGTTTCCTCGATCATCAACTCGACAATGACATCTGTCTGTCTCGATGTTGCTTTGTGGCATTTTGACATTTTGACGTTTCGACGTTTCAACATCTTGATGCTTTATTATTGTAAGATGTGGAAAACTGCCTCTTATGCACATGTGCTTGCCAATTTTTTTCTTTTTTTTTTCGTACGGTCCTGCAAGTTGCTGAGATGATGTTTGATGAACTTTGATGAGTTCATGTTGCTTTAAGGTGTTTTATTTTGTTGTTTTGTTTGTGTTGTTTTGATGTTACCACAATGTTATTAGCTTCAACATTTCCTGTTTCAGTTCTCTACAGGACTTCCCCCTCCCCAACCCTCTTTTTTTGTCTTGTTTCATTTATTAAGACAAGACATCTAGTTAAATAATGTTAGCTACCCACAATCCTTACTACTAATACCTACTTGAGTACTCATTAGCCATATAATCAGTAGTTTGCCCCTTGTTATCTATGTGACATTAAGGTCTTGTTAAAGTCCTTAGCTATGAAAGTAGACAAGTTGTAGAAGGAAATTGCTAGGGTAAGTATTAATAAAGTAAGCCAGATCTAGATATACCCTTTAAATTTTATTTGCTAGTACTACAAAGCTTAATACTTGAAAGTGTTAGGATTGTAGGATTGGACCTATTTCATTTTCTTCATATCTCTGTCAGTTTTGCAAAAAAAAAAAACATTGTTACTGGATTTTCATGATCCTTAACATCTCATCTATTGTTCTACAAAGTTTCATAGAGATTGTCTTAGTATTGAGTGCAGGAGAGAGCTACAGAGACATGAGATAGTGTATACAATTACAATACAGTCAATCCATTTCTTGCCTAATATAGTAACTTGTGCCTCTTTTGTACAATAGCCTCTTAGCCTATATTCTCTAATACACAACACTCTGTTAATTCTTCCTAGCCTCTAATGTGCCTGTTGGCTTTACAATATTTGTTCTTATTATTTCTTTAATCTTATTCTCAAGTTTCATTCCTTACTTTACTCTTGTTATTTAGTTATTATAAAAAGTAGTCTGTAAATACAGTAGTTCCTTAGTTTTTTGACTCTTCTCATATTCCTACTTGTTCTCCTAACATAAATCCTAGCTGGTAGCTTTGGGAATATAGTTGGATTAAGGGCTACAAGTCTATATTCATAGTTTGAGAGTGCTATTAACTTAGAGAAACATCTCCTCTAATATAAGAGTTAAAAAACTCATCTCTACCTTAATACTACTCTTAGTCCAAGCTACTACTCAATCAATATCCTCCTAGTCCAAGCTACTACTTGACTATCCTCTCTATCTGATCTAACTCTCTTTTGAGTCTAAACTACTGTTTGATTTGTTTCCTACATATAGTCAGAGCTACTACTCAACTTTCCCTGACTCAAGCTACTACTCAGTCACTCCTCCTACTCAATCTGCTCAATCTGCTCAATCTGCTCAATCTGCCCAATTTACCCAATCTGAGCTACTACTCAATTAGTTTGCTTAAGCTGAGCTACTACTTGTTTAAGTATTCCTTACTCTCTTTATAAACATTATAAACATACCTTTACTTTCTTAAAGAACTAGTTAAAGAACTATTAAACTAATTTACTATTCTATTGATTCTATATTATCCCTCACTCATTTGTTACTCTATTTTTCTATTATTTTATACTCTACTCTTAAGGTTGTATTACTACTATTCTTTACTCTCTTTCACTCTTTTGAGTTTGTGTGTTGTCTTTACAATTTACATAGTTACACTCTTTTCTAAATACTTTTTAACTTACTACTTGTAAAGCTCAATCCCTAGCCTTTGTTTACTGGTTGACTAGAGTCTCTCTCAAGTAGTAACACTTTTAGGAATCTTACAGTCTGAAAGTCTAGTATTGTCTTACAGTTATTTAGTATTATTAGATAAGAGTCACTAGATTGTACTTAGAACAGAGTACATATAAGTAGTTTAAGAGTTTAAAACTAAAAGATTAAAGTTGCCTAAGTAGCAAACTAGTAGAAGGAACTATTCCTAGGACTTAAACATTATTCATAATTATTCACACTAGCCTCTAATAAAGACCCAAACATTTTAGAGCTTGCTCAAGCATTTGAAAGAGTATTTAGTACTTTAGAAGTTGATTTATTAGAGTTAGTCTTAGAAACAATGTCAAATCCTTTAGGAATCTCTCTTATACTCTCCTACAAACCTGTACAGCCCTAACAAGGTGTATATATGTACTTAGACATGAATTCAGTCTCTCAATTGATTACAGAAGCTACTAGTCAAGCTGTTACTATAGTAATGTATTATACTCCTACTAGAAACCCTAGAAAGATTACTACTACTCTTAGAGAGTACAAAGGAGGTAAGGATTATTAGGACTTTAAAAGAGAATGTTTACTGTATATTCTTACTAATAAAAGAGCCTTCTATAATAGTAAAAAGAAGATACTCTTTATACTTTCTTATCTAAAGGAAGGGATAGTTACTGTATGAGTAGAAAATTGAGTTACTCAAAACACAGATATTAATAGTAAAATTCTTTGTACACAATTATTCTAAGAGTTTATAGATTAACTAGGGTAATAATTTAATGACTCTAGTAAGAAAGAAACTACTATCTAGAAGCTTAGACAACTCAAGCAAGGAAACTACTCTATAAATATCTTTTTCTAACAGTTTAAGATTCTTAAGACTAAAGCTAGACTGAGTAGTAAAGTATATAACTCTATATTAATTAATTTACTTTAGTATACTCTTAATCCTAAAGTACTTTGTTAGTTAATGTGTCTATCACTAGTTCTAGGTACTTATAATAAATAGAAAAAGTATACAATTCAGATTAACAATAATAAAACTTGACTCAGAGAGACTCTTACACACAGGGGACTCTCTAGTAGTTAATCTAACAACTGTCTACACTTTAATCTTCCTAATAAGGCTTACAACTCTCCTCAATCCAATCCTACTGTGTATTTTAAAGCCTCAAATGTATAGACAAATTCTCAACCAACCTTACATTCTTTCAGGTTGACTCTTAATAGAAAAACATTCTTAGGAGCTAGAGAACTAATAAACATCTTAATTAACAATACTAAGAAAAATCAAGCTTGTTACATTTGTAGAGAGATTGGTCACTTTGTCAGAGTTTCATTAGGAAAAAGTCTAAAAGGTTATATTATATTATAATAGTGTGAAAAAAGTAAAAAAAGTAAAAAAGTAAAAAAAGTAATTTACATATTATCAGACCTTAATTTCTGATAACTTAGTATAACTTTGTATAAGGTACTGTAAGGTTTATTAATGTAATAAAAGTACATAAGAGTAATACCCCTTTTAAACATATAAAATGTATAATATTGGACCTTCCTTTTTTAAAATGTATTGTAAGGATTACTAAGTTTTGAAAGGGTAATACACATTTGTAATGTTTTACAGAGACTATACATAGTTATTATTTCTTAATAATAATAATTTCCCCTTACATCCATTCATTATTAAAATAACAAAAATCAATTATATTAAAATATTTGTACAATACATTATTATCTACAATAATTAAGGAAAATAAACTGAAACACATACATAGTACAGTCTGTGTTAAGATTTGTACAGAGAGTGAGTAAGAGTGTCTATATCTACTATAATGTGAATACAAGTAGGTAGAGGTTAGGATTGGACTAGACTCAAGTAGTAAACAAGTACATTACAAGTGTTAATTACTAGGCCTATTCCTTGACCAGATCCAGACAGACTACTAGAAAGTGTTTTAACTAGTGTAGCAGGAGTGCCCCAAGTACTCTCTCTATTTGAGACATTAAGCAAGTGTCTACCTTATATACTACATAGTAAAGTCTGATAGTCTGAGACATTCCAAGTGTAGTAACTCTATATAAGGCAATTGGGGATTTCCTAATCTAGAGCACAATCTAATACTCCCCTTCAAGCATTAATTAAGAACTATGACTGTATGCCTAATAGTTTGTTTAGATGCTTAATCTGTAGGATGTGGAGAGCTTTTGTAAGGATGTCTGCTAATTGGTTCTGTAATTGAACATAGTATACATTGATGTAATTGTTTTGAATATAACATTACACAAAGTCTTTTCATAAATCAAGGTGTTTAGTGCAAGTGTTGTACATTATTTTGTCAGACTTTATAGTCTTTATTGCACCTTGATTATTACAATAAATTGTAATGGGTGCTGATTCAGTCTATAGTACTTCTTCAG